GAGAGAGAGAGAGAGAGAGAGAGAGAGAGAGAGAGAGAGAGAGAGAAAAGACAGTACAGTAGAACTGGCAGGAGAATATAATATTGCATGTCACAAAGAAAGAAATACTTAAGGAGTCTTTGCTTTGGCAACATGTTTTTATTCATTATGTCATGCCAAAAAGGCCTTTGAATTAAAATGGAATTTAACTGAATTGATTTGAATTGAGAGAGAGATACAAGTTCCCTCACCCTTAGTCTGGCACTTCCAAATGAAAGCTTGTAAAGATAGATAGGCTGATGAAATCAACACACCACAACCAAATACAGAGCTGCATTATATATTATGAAAATAAGTGGTCAAAAATACACTAACAAAGGAAGATAGCTTTAACCAAACAGTACAAGCTTTATTCACACTCCAGAGAGAATATTTGAATGTTAGGGCCATTGCAAAAGTAGGATAAGATTCAGGTTTATTGGCAGCTAGACGCTAAATCTATGGGACCATTACTGTAGAAAAACTGTTTGCAAATGTGTGTGTAACTGTACTGCAATCTGTGTGTACGTAATGAGATTTGTAAATGTGTAAGAGAATCTCTAAATGCATACTGAGATTTGAGTACAGAAGAATCTGCAGATGTGTAAAAATAAATGTGTGCTGTAGTAACTGATACTGATTTTTTTAAATACATTTTTATTTCCAGCTTTTAAATCAAAACACTTACAGCCAATATCTATGTACACATTTACAAGTTTGCCTACATATTTTCCATGTACACATTTTTGATTTGTGTATGATGCGTGATTGGAAATCTGACAATAATGTTGTCAACTGAGCAATTAGTGGACTGAAGCAAATGTATTAGTGTCTTTGTCATTTCTAAAATAGAGTCCATCCGCGTGTTGCTCTGTACAGACAAAGACACAAAGGAGAAGCATCGTGACTGTTGGGTTTGGTTCACTCCATGTTTCCTTCCACTTTGGAGCCAATAACCACATGAAGATTTGGGTTGGAGAAGTGATCTGAAAAAGCCCATTGACACTGGTTAGTGGGTGATATCAAGCTTGTGTGTTAACAGTATTTTTAAGGTATTGTTTTGTGTTTCTTCTTGTCAACAAATCCCACGAATAAATAAAATCGAACAATGACTTTGTCGATCTCTCGTACTTTCTGATGTCCGTACCCTGTCAGTGGCACTCAACCACACTCCCATTCATGCCTATTCAATTTGAGTAAAGCTTTAAAAATGCCCAACATTTGAATTAATAAAAAAGCTCAGAAAAATAATGCTAAAACAGTTGTTCACTTAAGTATTTTCTGTATAGCCAAAGCTTGAGGAACTTATTTCTGTGTGGAAAAAAACAAACTAAACGATCAAAGGATTGTTGTCTTTTCTTGGGACAGCACAATAAAATTATATCATACCCAAACATGTGACATATGAAACATTATGTGTGTGTGTGTGTGTGTGTGTGTGTGTGTGTGTGTGTGTGTGTGTGTGTGTGTGTGTGTGTGCAACTTACGTGCAGCAAACTCACGGATGTCAGCAGGCCTTTTAAGAATTACATCTCTATGAGGAGGAGGACAGAAAATACAAATAGTAACTGTACAACTAAAGTATGAGCAGCTTAGAATAGGCTTTTTAAAGTATGGCATTTTTTCCTGAAACAACTGGCTGCACATACAGACAAACTCAGACCTTTTATCATCTTTGAAAATACAAACAAGTAAAAGAAAAAGACAAGCTCATGGTCACCAGGAAAACTCAGAGCTAAATGTATTCCAAAAGCAAGCGGAGTTAAGTTAGAACTACATGGAATCGTTTGCCTGACGATATGTGCATGTCAAGCTCAGTTTACATCTTTTCAGACACAAACCTTTATTTGAAATATTTAGGCTTTAATTCATATTTTGTTTAAGCATGTAATTGTTCTAGTCTTGTTATATTTTGTACCTGAGATCTTTGTAATGTAACTTTCCAAAGGGGAAATCCTCTTTATCACAAATGTAGCCTAAATATAGTAATACTGTTACTATCTGTAATTCTCTTTAGGTTGCCTATACTGTTTACTTGCTGGTGTCTTTTATCAGACAATACTATTAAATACAACTAATTAAGGATGCCACCACGCTAATTAGGAGGAGAAACAAGATTAGGCTCATTTACATGTGCTTATAAAGGCTGGCCTTGGTTTGTTTAAGTGTTGTCTGTCCATGAGAGCAAGCTTACGTCTGTGTGACATCAGGATCTCAGTCTCCAACACAACTAGCAATAGTAAAGTTCACCAACACGCACACCACGAGCCTTTTTATTGTCTAAAAGCAATAGAAGTTGATCTAGCTGACGTTACCTTAGAAAGTCCCCTATCAATACCTCTACTTCTGGGTGCGATCTCAAATACGTCTCGTTGTCGACTCTCGTTCTGATCTGACAATCATGAGAAAATGCATTTTAAGGGTCGCTGATCAACAGCATGCAGATCAAGCTGCGGCTCTATCGTTAGCGGTGTTACCTTGAAGCGTCGCAGCTTCTCTTGCTGCTCAGCACTTAATACTCCGACGTCCAGTTCCGCTAAAGCTCCACAACCAGCCATCATCTGTGTTCGTCTAATTCTTTACCTTACTGTGTCCACTGACCGGAAAACGTTTGATACGGTTTGGGCAGAAGTGCTGCTATGGAAACGACCTCCATCAATAATGGCTGCGTCCGCGAGGTGGCAGCATGTGACAGGACAATAGCTCCCAGTATATTATTGTGTCGTAATTGAACTGAATCCTGAAGCAGGAATAATTTGAGAATTGCATGACAGGTATAAACAGCACTGTTTTGTCTACTTAGAGCCTCTTAAAAAAACTCAAGAATCCTTCAACTTTTTGATTTTTTTCTGTAGTATTGCAAGAGCGGTAAACAACCACGGTGGCTGTAGTGAAGTTTCATCACTGACTCAGTTCATTAACTTCTCTAATTATACCCCATCACAGTCCACATATGACCACAACGATCATATTTGATGAGGTTTTGGCTGATGAATTACTTCCTGTACAGCTAAATCCTGTTTAGATTTAGCTGTACAGACACTGAAAAAATTCAATTAGATTTTTGACATTTTGCATCCCAACTCAACATGCTGCTCGGGTTTGTATTAACTCCCTGTTCCTCCTTCGCTGTGCAATGTGTGCAGTTTAGAATACTAGGCAACATAGCACCCGATTTGCTGAGTGGTAATTTGATTTTATTAAATTAATTTTGCAATATGACACATAAACACAAAACTAAGGTAATGGAGGTCTTAAAACTATATTTTGTCACAGAGGTTCCCTTCAAGACAGAGGCTCAAGATCAGATAATAAAGCAGGACCCAACTTAAGTCCTGTGTCTTATCAGTTGATGTTATTTTTACAAGGTAAATAGTCCTACAACCTGGAGTTCAGGGGCCAACACAGAACCTTAAACAAGACAATCAGCCCGGCCTAATCAGTCTAAAAGGGAGGACAACTGATGAACAACCAGTGCTTTTGTCAGCAACTTTTGGCAATTCTTGTCAAACCTTGTAAAGAATATGTTTAAACAGAAAGAGCAGGAGGCAAGTGACATATTTGATAAACCTTAATATAAATTATATACAAACAGAAGATGAGGTAGTATGCTTGACGCAGGCCTATAATGAGGCCTACATCTAGTCTACAGTTCATCAACACACTTGGCACAGACTTGAGAAAGAGCAGGTAAAAGGCTGGTTTTGAGACAAAGGCAACAAAAAGTCTATGAGAGGTATTTTAGGTATTAGTTAAAGAATAGTAGAATTTTTGTTTCCAACAGAAGCTCATTGGAGAATGATAACAATTTTAAGTCCATTATCCTTAGTCATCTGTGACACTGGCTAGTCTTATTCCCATTCCTGCCTGCTCATGAGTCCCTATGGAGAAAGAAATAACTTGTGTTGTTGAAGTGCATGGCTTCTACCCTCTCCTTCAGCCGCTGTTCTTCTTTATTTTCTTCTTCCCCTTCTTCCACTTCCCTCTGTGGGTTTTTTTTGTAACGAGGAGGGGCAAAGGTCACCAGAGACTGTCCTTCTGGAGGTGTTGGTGCAGAAGGCTGAGGCCGCGGAGAGTCACCACACTGTATGACGACACTCAGTCTCTGGAGTTTAGGCATGAATCTGTCCTTGTGTCTGAAATGAAAAGAAGAGAATTTGACTGAAATAATTTGCTGAGATTTGAAGACTGGGACATCCATCCACTGGTTATAAATGTATCCATGTTTGTTGTACAGCAGGAAATACTATATTTTCGATATAGATAGAAATAGATATAATATACCTGAATATGTAGGCAGCCAAAATGACCGACAAGAGAGAAAGTGAACCAGATATCCACATGACATGACGTAACACCTCCGCACCACTTTGGACTGGTTCAGGAACTGCAGTAAAGACAGGAGAAGACAGTGGGAAATCCTAATAGAACTGAATAACATCCATGCAACGTGTATGGGTGTAACTGAATGTGTGTGTGTGTGTGTGTGTGTGTGTGTGAGATTTGTGTTCAGCCATGTTTCCTGTGGCTTGTTTCGTTGTTAAGCCTCAGTTATTATGATGACATGGCTTCCTGTTGAAACCCAGTGGGGCAGAGGGGGTTTTCAGCACTCAACAATTAAGAGTTCCCTCTCTCTCGTCTTTTCCCCCTCGTCTCTCTCACACACACACACACACACACACACACACACACACACACACACACACACACACACACACATAAACAAATAATTAACCAACATGTTTCACTGTCTGCTAACTGTCTTACCATCAAACACATCATCATCTGTATCAGAGCTGCCTTCGTTGTCTGTGTATACTGGGAACTGCAAGTTAGAGAAAGTAACACAAGAGACGTGGTGAGATACTGGAGGCAGGACAACAATGAGTACAGCATTATAGTACAGTATTACATATATATATTACAGTATAGCACTAATGTCTCTTTGACTCTCACCATTGTGGAAGAGAGATCATCCTTCCCGAACAACCCTTTAGCTGAGGAGAAAGAAACCCGTGCAGATGACATGTTATCAACAATTTTAACAGAAAGGCAGCCCCTTCATCTAGACAATATAACATTTATGAAAAGTAAAAACAAACTGTATTGTATATAATGCTTTGTTTAGACCAGTGTTTCACATCTGGAGGTTGGGAAGCGGTCACAAGAAAGACCAGCAAGACAAGAACCAGAAATAAACAATTTCTGCTACACAAAATAAAGTCTTTCATCTCATCACATGAAAAAAAGGTTGGGAGCCACTGATCTAGACGGAGTTCTGCTATTGTATAATTCTTTTATATAGTCATGTTTTGTTTTAAAAAAATCATTACCTTTGGATTCAAGACTTATTTAAGCATCGAATGTTTTTGAGAGTGAAAAGTTCTTTAAAGAGAAAAGAAACTCATTCACGCAAAATATTCTGTTGATGATTGCTTCTGTGATATAGCTGCATATTAAGCACAGTTGGAAGGAGTAAAAGTAGGTACGTATGAGAGGGTAATTGTGACGAGCTTATTTGGAAAACCCAATCATACGGGAAGGAAACAGGAGGCCCTCCTGCTCAGGTCGTCATGGCTACCTTTGTCTGCGTCCAGGCTGGGTGATGTATTACGAAGGTGACAAAGCTCAATGATTTACAGGTTCCCCTAATCCACATCACTTCCATGTCTCTAAAACCAATAACACAACTTTTCTGCCTGCTGGCCCCTGAGCAAGAAAAAGTGCTAATTTGCAGTTTCCACTAACAACAGCTTCAACTACGACACAATTTTGAAATGGCTTGATTTTGTTCACGTTTCTTTCTACATGTATGAGTGTGTGCATGTGTGCCTACCTGTCGTGAATAACCAACTGCTGGCATAGACAGGTTTACTCCAGTCACTCCACTGACCATCATACTCTTCCTTGGTTCTGAGCTGTATCAAGTACTCAACACCAGGCATTGCATCAGTGATAGTGTAGGAGCGCTTCTTTACCATCTGTATCTACATGGACACATACAGAGAGGCAACCAGGAAAACCTTATTGTTCAGGCCAGAACACTACTACTGAACTGTGAAAAGTAAACACACTCACACCGACAGTGCATGTTCAGAAAGCATTTGTCCACCAGCACGCACCTGCCCATGATATAACGAGGATATATTAGGTCGGTATTTGATCTCGTAGATTAGTTCATAATAGTTGTCTTGGGGCTTCCAGGAGTTCGGCAAACCCCAGGTGACGGTCATCCTCATCTCCTGTCCCTCCTCCTGTCGAACTGTCACATACGATGGAGGGTCTGGCTTTACTGAGGGAGCGGGAAGGAATATAGTAAGTGTTATCCATCAGACCAAACGCACACGTGACACGGACACACACCCGGCTCGACACACAAACTTACAAATGCCCAGAGGTAGGAAGTGCAGCAGGGCGCTGGTGGCGTTTCCCGTGATGCTCGTAACACACAGGTAGGCCATGTGAAGGGTTCTCTGCTCGTCCTCATTGTGCTCCAGAGCACACCAACAGCGGGAGTGCCGAGATGAGTATGAGCACTGCGATCGAAGAAATGCATCTGTCGGGCTGAGAGAAGGAACAACAAGGAAATAAACTGTTTCACTCACAGGAAGATGGGTGAGATAAAAAAAGAACATGACTTGTATTGCTGTTGTAGTTTTAACCTTGTTCACCCCCCATATGTAGTATTTTTCTGGGGTGCCAAGGTGGTCTAGTGGTCCAGCTGAGTATTCTCTCGCTCCCTCTCCCCTCATTTCCTGTCATTTCTCTACTGTCACATGTCTAATAAAAGCGCAACATTTTTTTTATTTCAACCAATACTTCATTCAATGCTTTCTCTGAAACATCAACTTCTCGGGGCACTTCCATTCAGCTATTTCAAATGTCTCAACTGCAAACCTTTAGCAGGTTTCTTCCCAAAACGTCATCATTTCTGGTTAACTTTTGAATTTGGAGTCTAAATCATTCAACGCAGCATCAAATGCTCTAGTTTGAAATGTATGGCAAGGTATAGGAGGGATAAAGGAGAATAATTCAAATTATTTATTGTACATCTATGTATATGTGAAATTGAGACCTGCTAACAGACCTGATGTGATTGACAGGTCAGTTGACACAGGGACTGAAAAGAAACTGCATCTCAATCATAGTTTGTAATGTTGTTAAAGGTTTGTTTGTAAAGTAGTATTTACTATGTCCACACACAAGTATAAGTTATTCATTGGGTAGTTGTGGTATTAGTGTCTGTCCTTACCTTTTACTGAGTAAGAGGTAACAGTTAGGCCATACAGTGACGGGCTTCTGAGGCACCCATTCACAGCGAATCTTACTGCTGGGTGACCTTTTGTAGCAGGACAGGCTGGGATTCTCTGGAGGATCTAACACATAAAGAAGACATGCAGTGATATTGTATATTCATCTCTTAGTTATTTGTTGTCTTTACTAAATACAGTATATCTACATCAACCACCAACCAATCACCGAAAGGCTACAACTACAATTTAATGAGTGGTTTTAAAAACAATAAAAAAATGGCAATAATGCTTGTTCAGAGTCCAATAAGTCAATTTTAAATATTTGTTTTGTCCAACCAACAATCCAAATCACAAAAATATTGAATCAATAATAATGTAAAACAGAGAAAAGCAGGGCACCATACCATAAGCATGTATGCATTAAAGCATTAAATGTGAAGTAGCATCTCATTGTTCTACCCCTACATCATTACTCAGTTTATTGTCACACTGATGCATTACAGCTTTCATTTACACTTACATTCTGAATATGTAGCATAATGCACTTTGCAACGTCTTACTAAAACTGCATTTTATACAGAAAACCTAACGCTAATGCTAAGGTTTTTGTTTTGAAAAACAAGATATGTTAGGACAAATGAAAGAGCGAAGGATAAATATCCAATTGCCTGCTGTTCTGACTCACCTGCAACGTTTACCTTTAAGGAGAACCTCTCTCTGCCTCTGTGATGGCAGGTGTACCTCCCAGAGTCCGTCAGTCTTACCGAGGACAGAGACAGTGAAGCCTCACTCCTCTCAAATGTGATTTCACCCCAGTCTCTGTCTCCTTTTCCCACTGTCCTACCGTTCCGCTTCCACTGTAGCCTTGACTTTATGCCTCTTGTTACTCTGCTCCCTTCCTCCGCTCCCTCCTCTTCCTCATAATCGCCGATGCCGTCCATCTCCTCAGCCTCCCGGTCGGATTCAACCTTCAGCAGTCTGCTCGCATTGGTTGGCCGGACTGTGTGAGTGGTGGTAGAAGCTGTATATCCTGTCTCTGTACGTCCAGGGCTTCTGCGTTCTCCTGCCGATTTTGAGTTAGACTGGTATCCCTCACTTACAGGATTTTTCACAGTATGTGTTTTGCTTTTCATCAAAACTCCAGTTTTGCTTATAATGTTTACAGTGGTTGGGGTTGCATTAAAATAACTCCCTCTTCTGTTGTTTGTGTGAATGTTGACCTTCACTCCGTTCACCTCCACACCACCACTGCAGGTCAAAACCAACTTACTGCCCGGAGATACAACCAACAAACCAGGGGGAGGGTCTGGACAGAAAAACAAACATAATTTATAGAGCTTATACAAACCAACAGGTGTGCTGGTTGTCTTGACCTATGTGTGGGAAAGACTTTTTTTATTGTACATTCAGACAGTATTTTGCACAAAATGACAAGTTCTTGAGCATCGGTTGCTGTCGACTCCGCACGGCACAGATAGAACATTACATAACCAAAACTACCAACTCTTTTTTAACTTCCTGTTTTAAGAGTCATCTTTTCTTTACTGTTTCTTTTTATATCATGCCCTCTCACTTATTTACATTTCTGACATTACACAGATTTTCAGATTGCACTCAAAACTCAATTAATTATGACTTGAGAAGTATTTACACCCTCCTGTCCATTGGCCTTGCAAACATACTTTCTCTCCCTTACTCCCACTTTCCCAGTTCTCTGTCTATCTAGCCTAAATATATGGATATAACTAGAGGCTCTGCAGCTGAGAGAAGGCAAAACAACACATCTGCTACTGTGTGTGGACAGGATTTAGTTTTTACACATGTTCTAACATTTGAATTTGCCTGACCCAGTATATACATCATTTGTCTGACCTGCATTAATAATTTGGATAATTAGATATTTTGACACCAAATTAAAAGGAACTTTATTCCCTTTAAGAAAAAATAACTGAACATCTGGAGAAAATAACAACTGAGTAAATACTTTAAGCAAATAATATGAAGAACATTTATCTGAGTTTCCACAAAAGCTTTACAAAACAACAATTTAGATGTTAAACAACACAGAATGACAATAAAGATAATTTCTTAATGATCTATTAAGATATTATAAATATGTCAAATACGAAAAATAAACAACTTTTGCGAAACAATGTAGCACTGTGCTTACACTGCAAACAAAGGAGGCTGCTACAGAGCACGGTTTGATCCATTTACTGTGATTGACAACAATCTGAATACCTCTTGTGGGTGACAATAATGACCCCATAAGCGAACAAAACACCTTACATCTGCTTTTGAAATAATAAATTAAAAGTAAGTCAGAACATGGCTTGTTTTTACTGACATGGCAGGATGGATCAATCACAAAGATTATTACCTTTTCTCGGACATTTTCCGTCGAAAATGCCTTGGACCTGTGCGGCGCACAGAACGCACAGCAAAGGGAGAAAACCCCGCATGTTTGCGCATGAGTCTCCCCTCACCGGGTCCTCACACCATCACTTACGTGCAAACAGCACCAGTTGGAGATTATTGTGGTTCTCATCAATCTCTTCACACGAACAACAACAACTGAAGGTCCTCCTGCACAGACGGGGTTGTTAAAGCACAGTTACCGGTTTCCTCTGGTTGCAGCAGTCTGCTGTCAGTAAGACCCGTTATTGTGAAATCCCAGCTCCCTTCCCGTTGTTCAGTACTTTAAAGAGGAAATCCTACCCAGCGTCAAAACAAAACCCCTGTGAAAGCTGAAAATAGGCCTGCTATTATAATTGTAATATCTAAAACTGGTAATACTCAGGAAGTCTGTCACACTCAAGTTCCTTTCTTGATATCCTTCATTTTTTTGTGTCACAGATGGTGCACTTTGGTTTTAATGACATACTGTAAGTGTAGGAATGTATATGTATTTTCTGTAGTATTGAGTTGTAAACAAGTTTCATTTATTGACAAGTCTTGACAAGTACTCAAAATATCTCTTTCCACACATATTTTCATCTTTGCCAATAACAAATGATGGTGCATCATGATAAACTAGATGACTAAAGAGTGCTTTTGCCACACAAGGTACCACAGGTCTATTTTTTTTTGTTGCATTGTACAAACATTTTTAAAGCTGCCGGCTATTTTTCACCTCATTTCATGGCCCACAGCAGCGTGGTCATCTCTACCTTTCACTATGGTTGCTACTTGAAATAACATTTGCATGGACACAGTTTGATTCTCTCATTTGAAAGAAAGATGACAAGTTTATTGACCACCAGTTCAACAGTACATTCATTTCTGTCCTTGTTTCTGCAGCTCATATTAGCATAATGTGGTGTTTTCAGTCTGAAAGCTACTTTGTTGAAGACTGCAATAGAAGGGACTGATCCTGGAGCACGTTTATATTGTTCCTCTGGTTACCCTACTTACTTATTATCTCACTCCAACTTGGGTAAGGGTCCGTAATTCACAGTAGCATTTGCAACACAGACGGGATGTTGTACTTGATTGATGGATCAGGAACCAGAAGAGCTTTAGAAGACCAAAATGGAGGCATTGTTAAGGCATAATCATCCACAAACACCTTCCCTTTATGCATGGACAAATTTAAAGCACTTCATTGAAATGACGGTTTTGACAAATCACCTTTAAATGTCTGTTACTGCCTTTTCTTTTGCACTTTGCCCAAGGTCTAACCTAAAGTAAGCTTGTGGCAGTTTGTCAACATGATTCGGCCCTTTGTCAGACCAAAACAAAACAAAAAACCTGCAAAGAGGAGAAAAAGCACTGACAGCTTGCTTTAAGTGCAACTCAACTAGACCATTATAAAACACATCAATATGATGCAAAAAGAAAAGGAAAACATTTGAAGTAAAGGTATAACAAGGAAGACAAAATCAATGGGAGATAAAGGACACAAGTCCTGCACCAGTTTTGCAGTGTCCTGTAACATAAAGCACCGTTCTCACTGAGAACTATCGTGAACAAAAACACCTTTACAAAAAATGCCTGCACTGCACTGATTAAAAGTCTTGTTATTCAGCTCATTCATACAACCCATTGTTGATTTTGAGGGGAGCTTGGTTGTGAGCGAGGCTTAACTTGAAATTATAAGTGGAAACAATCTTTTACATCATTAATAGGACGTTACCTGTTTCTGCACCCGCTGATTTCCTTTATTGAAATACTGTAAATCTCATGATATTCTAGTCATTCATGAACAGTAATTATATGGCGTGGGAACATGTATATCACCATTGAATCCCAATTTATAGTTTGACAAGGTCCATGCCACTTCTGCCTATGATTTAGATTTATTTGACTTATTAACGAAGCTTCAGTTTGGAAACAGAGAGAACTGACTGGGCAGCTTTTTATAACAGTCTGCTCTCTATGTCTCAGTATCTCTCCAGGAAAGCAGGCAACACATCCTATATGTGTGTGCAAACATGTGATGGACAGTAGTGGACAAGGTATTCCTCCATTCGTTCTGAATGTTTCATTCAATCTGGCTGCTTTCCATGGGAACAGAGGGTGGGCGGGGGCTGTTGGATGCAGTGGCCCGAGCCTTCCAACCAAACAGAGCTTCCTGTTGGAGAGAATAACGGTTGTGTCAATGTGTATGATTTTAGATGTGCTGTTATTGATGCATGAATTAAAAAAAAAAAACAGCAGCTCACCTGCATGGAGCCCAGAGTGATCGTCCAGCCTCCAGGTGAGTCTCCCCCACGGGACCTCACTGCTGCGGGGGTAAGGACGCCAGCATCCACGGCCTGGGCTGAACCCTGAGGTGCGGCGTCTTCTGAAGCTGATGGGGTTTGTGTGGATAAAGCGGGAACAGTCTGTGTATTTTGGGCTGGTGCTGCACCTGTCTCCTCCTCGATGGGTGTATCTTGTGAGCCGCCCAGAACAGAGGAGGAGTTTGAGAGCGGCGGAACTGACCCAGACACACAACTGGGTGCTGGGCTGCTCTCCCCGGAGGCGCTGGGAGTTGTGTGAGCGTGCGTAGGTTTCTTCCTGCGGAGCGTGTCGATCCAGCCGGAGCTGTGTCTGGAGGCAAAGTTGGCCAGGGCCAGAGACGAGAGCCTCATGTTCTTTCCTGAAGTGATCAGCTCTCCAAATCCTTCCTGGTGGGCAAAGGCGTAGCCTGACCTTCTAGAACCGCCACGAGCACCCAGACGGCCCTCTGACACACTGCCCAACCCACGGCAGGCACCTCCCTCGCTACGATCTACCGGTTTTCGCTTCTTCTGCCGCACCAGCTGAGTGTAGCGCACCTGGAGAAGAATCATGGACAAGAGGTTTGAATTTTGGTGGTTTGGCACTGTTTTCCTTCTTTGAGCCAAGCTAAGCTAATGAACTTCTCATAAAGGGAAGTTATGTCTTGAAAGTTGCTAAATTCTTCTATTTTTCTGTTGACGACTTTCTTTTTGCTCTTTTGCCACCTATGTGCCTTATATTTCGTTTCCTGCACATTTTTCAGTCCTATGTATATCAGTGTTTCCTGGGTCTCATCTATAAACGTTACTGCCATCACCTTTATTATTACCTATTATCTTGAATAGGTAAACCAGCCATTTCAAAGAGATATACATTTGATAAATCACAACTTTGTTTTATGAATTTGTTATTTTAAACATATACACATGTAAACACTTTATAAATTAGACCAAATAAATACATTCAGTTAACAGGCGACGTTATTCTTCTTATTTCCTACCTTCAGTAAAACAAACAAATGTACGCAAGCCTTTCACAATACATTCAATGTTATAAGTACTACAATTATAAGAATTGCAGATATAAATGTTTAATAAAAGACTATGGAAGAGATTCTGCAAATGAATTTGGGGACCCCAATAAAATCAGCTGCAACCCACCGATGGGTCCCGAACCAGTCTTTGACTGCTACATAATGTCTACCACAGCAGGTTTGGTTGGAGGCCCCGCTGGCTTGAGACACTGACTGACGAGGCCACACACTGAGCTCGTATACTATAAAGTAACTTGAGTCATTAGGGTACACTGATTAAGTCAATATTTGCAGAGTACTTTCAGTGCACGAGGCCAGTGATGGTAAGCATGGACTCTTCATCACACACAGATGAACTGTTTGTACGCGTGCAGTTAATCATTAGCTGAGACCAGTTTCAAACTGACCTGTTGCGAAGACGAGACATTGACACATGTTGCAAAGAAGAAGATGGGCACATCAGGGTCAGAAACGTTGTGTTTGTGTGTGTTTTCTCACCGTGTCTGAGAGCTGAGGTTTGAGGTCCACCTTAAGGAAGCGGAATGCCAAAACTGGAACTATGCATATTGCTGTCGCCAGCGCAATAGTTAACCACACGACTGGCTGCAACAATGTGATCTGGGCACTACCTGTACTCACAAACGCACACAAACAAACACAAACATTAAAAATATGTTTTAGGAGTTTACAGCATTTCACAAATACTAAGAACACACAGATATTAAACATCGTTACATGATGATCTATATGGTGGCGTGAAATGATTTCAGCAGGTGACTACAGTAAACATTATTAAAGTATTATATTTTATAGAGCCAATACACAAATATATTTGGTAATACTGGTTTATTGACATTTCTAAATGATCCTCCCTCAGTGTAATCTATTACAATTCACTTGACAAATGTGAAGCATCCTTAGAAAATACATTTTTTTAAGCATTTTATATTCCGAAATATTTGATATTGGCTACAACAATTAAGTATTGGTCAGTCTGTCTGTCCGTGTGTGAGTGTTTGCGTGTGTGACAAATAACAAGAAGAGGGGACCGACCTACAAAGTGGAACTGATTGGGAAAGATCATGAAGAGGGTCTGACTGTGCAGAGCGAGCATGATGGAGAAGAAGAGGCCCAGAGAGCCCCACACAAACACATGGTTAATAACAGTCCAGAAGCCTGTGTCAAGAGCGATCTACATAGACACAGACACACATGCAAAAAAACAACACAGTTAATACACAATGCTGCTACAGACAGTAGTTAAACGTTGAGGTTGCAAGCTGTGACGAAAGCCGCACAGGCCTCTCTCACCTGTACGCTGACCACAATGACCAGGGCTGTTGCTGTGGTGACTGCAAAGGTCTGGTAGTCAGCGAGGGGCACTCCGGTGCTCTGAGTGGCGTCGGACAGAACTGCACAGGGGACAAAAAACAGCACCACTGACGTGTAGATGCCCTGGGCGATGCAGATGAAGAACTCTCTCTTGTTGAAGAGGAGGTTGAGCTGCCCCGGCTCATACAGTTTAGGATACTCCAGACTCCTCTGGTCAGGAACATCCTAAAATAAGAGAAGATGTGTAAGGTGCTGCATTTACTAAAATAACACCATTTTAGTGTTTAGTGCTTAACACGGTTGAGGTAAACATCAGCCTCCTTGAGGACTTCCTCTATCTGGTTGTGGTCGTAATTATAAAAGTACCTGGAATGTACAGTTTACCAACATATATGCCAATATATTCACAATAACAACGCTAACATGCCAATGCCAAGAAGGTATAATGTTTACCATGTTCCCCATCTTGGTTTGGCATGCATGTTAGCAGCACTTAACACAAAATACAGCTGATACTGATGGAAATACCATTAGTTTGGAGGTATTTGTTCATGAAAGTTAAAAGTTCAACCTGATGATGGCACTGGGTGAAAAGTTAAGTTGTTGTGGCACTACAGGGGTAGTCTGGAGATTTTTTTAAGTCAGTAAGGTTCATCCTCTGGGGACCATGAATTGTACAAACTTTTATGGCAGTTCATCCAATAACTTGTTGAGATATTTCAGTGTGGTCCCAAGTGGTGGAATGACCAACCAACAGACCAACACTGTTATCTCACTCAAGTGAAGCAAAAATGTAGCTTCACCAATTATTATTGTCCTGTTGCCGTGGCTGATTACAATTTATATAGCAACAGAGAATTCACTTACATGCGTGTTCTTCAATTTAATGGAAAGAATACAACATGCACATTATGATTGAACAGACCTGGTCAAATATCCCCATGGCCAGCACAGGGAGGGAGGTGTAGACAATGTTGTAGAGAGTGATGAAGTACTGATCATACACGGTCTACAAGAGAGAGGAGATGGACACAAAAACACAGACAAAGGGAAAATCATAATTACAATTTCCGAACTTCCTTGTTGACATTAAGATGTCCTCATGAGCTCTACTCTCTGACCTGTGCAGAGAAGCCACAGAAGAAGCCAAACCAGAAGTGCACCATGGTGAAGGCAAAGTTCTTGTAGAAGAAGTAGCAGAGGAAGCGGCACATGCGCAGGTAGGACCAGCGGCCGTGCACCAACAGCAGGCGCTGTAGGAAGCGGAACTGGGAGAAGGAGTAGTCACTGGCCAGCACAGCCTGGATCCCCTCCTGACCTGAGATACCAACTCCGATATGAGCACCTGGAGGAGTGGAGAGAGAAAGACACAGAGAGAAAGAGATTTTAAAAAGTAAGCCACATAAAATTTGAAAAACTGGACTTTTGTTTTGGCTTTCTTGTAGGGTTTTTGATAGTGAATTGTGTTCATTAGAAGAGACAAATAACTAAGAAACAAAGAGGAGAAAGTATTTGAACTTATGTGGACAAAATAGGGCCTACTGTGGCAAAAACATAACCCTTTGTATATGTAATGTGCATGTTGCTTGTTGTGTATTTAAAAATAAAAATAGCTAATAAATCATCTATAAAGAATGAATAAATAATCAATTATTATGCCTTCATAAAGAAAGCTAAAGTGACAAATAAAACAAATGCTATTTGTCAGATTTGAAAAGCTTAAATCACAGGATGTGAATCAACCCCACCCATCGCTGCTGAATTGGCTGTATTTCTGCTTTTTACGTGCATAAATTAATTTGAAGAAACATGCACTTATACATGTTCACATGATGTACATCCATAAGGGGAAAAACACACAAGGTGATGCAACGATTACAAAACACAGACTATTTCAAACACACTTAGAGAAACAGAAGAATTGGTCAATGGCTTAACCAAACCTCTCTGTTTGTTTCCCTTTTAAGCAGCTTTATTGTTACAAAAACATCTTAGTATCATTCTGTGTCCCCTTGTTGCAACTGTTAATGAAGCTATTTGTTCTTTGCACTGAGTGAAATAGTAAAAAAATGAATGTATGGCGGCACAATTTCATCAAATGGAAATATTCAAGATGTCTTGTTTATAATTTTAAACATATTTCCCCGAAGTTCCGTCTGACATATTTGGTATGTTTAGGATTTCTAATAGAAGTAAAAACAAAGTTTTGTGGGTTTGAGCAAATGTTTTTTTCTGCACAGCGTAATGAGTAAACCTGCAGGTCAGTAAAAAGTTTAAAAGGACACTAATCACATTGAAGACACTAAGAAATTAGTTCCTCAATTAATGAGGACATCACACCGAAAGTAAGATACATTTCCACACCACCGTCGTCACTACTAGTAACACCATGTAGATAAACAACTTCTACCACACTTCTGCTGAGACTTTCCATTGCCTAAAGGTAGACACTGACATCCACGTGGTCAAACCCTACTTCTCTCTTTCCTCTCAGTCTTATCCTCCATGATTGCACAACTCACTTTTGATCATGCTAACGTCATTAGCTCCGTCTCCTATAGCCAGAGTGACGGCCTTCTTGTGTTTCTTGATGAGCTCCACCACCTGAGCTTTTTGCAGCGGGGTGACTCGGCAGCAGATCACTGCTTTGCACGCGCACGCTGTCGACACAAACTCCGTCTCCATGTCTGCTTCTAGTGCGTGGGCCTATCACAGAGCAAGAAAGAGTCGAGACGTTTTACGGGTAAATGGTAACGGGTCAGAGTTGCAGCTGTGGAAGAAAAGTTATTTAAGAAGAATATGGTTTGTTGACGCAAGTTAGACATTGACGAGAGTTGACGGTTTAACTTATGTTTTGTGAATGTGAGTGTGGGGGCGTGTTATTAATACCAGACTGTGTCCGTTGATTACGAGGGCAAACTCTCCAGAGATGTTGTCCATGAGGTTGGAGGAAGGAGGAGGGCACTGCAGCTGTTTCCCTCCTTCTCTTCCTCCCGTACCATCTCCTTCTTGTCCTTCTCTGAACCCGTTACCCATGAAACATCCCTCCATCCCCTCCTCCTTCCCTCCATCTCGGGTTCTTGACAGCTCGATCATCCTTTCCCTCGCCCTCCTGGAGAGGAAGACAAACAAACTCAACATCAACATGGCTTGTCTTTGACAAAAAGACAGAATCAAAACACAACCTGTGTATGAAGAGAAAACAGGAGAGATTGGCAAAACAGACACAGCTGAGAAAACAAATCTAACATTAGTTGAAGAAATAAGGACCCTGAAGTTGGTGATGTTTAGGCCCCTTGCCTACAGCGATGTATCACCGCCCGCCACAAAAAAAGATGGCGTCATGTGTTTCTTTGCTATATATGTTCAGGCTATTTGACTCTTAAATGGTAAACATTTGGCACTTTAAGGAACATTTTGTCACATTAAGGTTTCATTATTATGCTTTGTTATGTGTTGTACTGTCTTTCGCTAGCACTAGCATCATTGAATGACATCGTCATTGACAAGAGAAAATCTTTGACATATGCTGGTTTTACACTAAAGATGGTAGATTTATTTCTTGGTGAAAGGAACAACTACATATTTAAACTACTAACTATTTTATGACTCAACACATTTTGGAGGAGGCAGTACATTAGCAGGGCTGTGCATTTAGAGACTTCTAACCAGCTTGGTGGTTTTAATGTGTTGATTTAACTGCAGAGGCTGAATGAAAGCTTGGGTTAACCACTGGATATTGTTCAGTAAGTCATGTAAAGGGGGAAACTGCTACCTCACCTACTCACTGCAATCATGCATATACAGTACTTCTTAGTTATTTTCTGGTCAACACCTGCCTTTTCTTATTTTTGTTCTGTGTTAATCCTAGAGCGTAGAGAGGCACCAGACAGACAGACAGAAAGACAAACAGACAGACAGACAGACAGAAAGACAAACAGACAGACAGACTGACTGACTGACTGACAGACAGACAGACAGACAGACAGACAGACAGACTGACAGACTGACTGACAGACAGACAGACAGACAGACAGACAGACAGACAGACAGACTGACAGACAGACTGACAGACAGACAGACAGACTGACCCGAGCTCCTGCCGTACACTCTGGACAGTGTGTCCACAGATGATGAACACCTCGGTCATGTCATCTGTAAGCATCTTGCAGGAATAGCCTATGTTGACAGCTGTCTCTGTGAGAGAAAGGGAGTGGGTTACTGAAGTGCAGTTAATCGTTTTAGCTGAACATGTTGAAGATTCATGATAAAGACAGACTGATAGCTCAGATGGATCAAAAGTTGAGCTGAACATGCTAATATTTTCATTTAATGTGAGAAAAGTGTTCTAATTTCACTGCCTGCATGCTTTGTGTGTTTTTCAGGTCTGCTAAGTTACCCTTTGTTTGTGTGGAGCTTTGCAAATGGTGTTTTTAAAACAATAGTGTGCAAAGTAAGCTCTGAAAGTGTGTGGAAAAGTGTACGTGTCTCACCCTGTTTGTCTCCAGTGAGAACCCAGATCTTAATGTTAGCCAGAGAGAGGACAGCGATGGTCTCTGGGACGCCTTCCTGCAGCTTGTCCTCTATAGCTGTGGCACCCAGGAGCTAGACACACGGGCACACACACATTAATTCCAGTTATCATACCAGCTGGAAATTTAAGTAGTGCATAAATGCAATTTCTGTCTAACAACTTGAAATGGCTTACCATCAATTCAACTCATTAAATCGACAATCAGTGAATTAACATCCTGCACTGAGAAAATGTATTGTTTAGCTACAGTAAAAAAGAGGAATTTCCCCTCACCAGTTTAGACGATACATCCAACGAAACCTGAAGTTTCTGTTTTTAAAGTGCTATTTTTATTCCGTTTGCGGAAGGAAGTTTGGTTGGATGGATGCACACTCTCTCAGGCCAAGTCACTAACCATCATGTCTTGTTCTATCTGCTCATAAGCGTCTGCCAGTCGTTCCTCTCTGCAGCTGACGGCCTTGTCAGCGTAGCGGTGGCTCTCTGACCATGCCTCCCACTCGTCCTCTGACAGGTCCCTGTAGGCCAGCGCCAGCGTCCGCAAACCATCGGCTGCATACTCCTAGAACCAAATATACAGTATACACACAGGCATGTGCAAACATAAACACATACACACATTCTGACACGACGATACACATTGGGAGAAACAATGAAGTCTTAAAGGTCGATGGCACTCTATTTCACTGTCAAGGTCCAAATATAGGTCAAAAATATCAGCGTGTGCCACGTGTCAAGTTGATATACTTTATCTGAGTAAATGATTAAATACTTGTTTGAGCTGTTTCCAAGTTTGGAGACACTAGATGGCAGTACATCCATCCCTGTTTGTTTACTCACATTGAGGTGGTCCGAGGTGACATTGGTTAGTTCCTGGTTACAGGGGTGAAGTCTCTCCAGCAGCACAGTGTCAGCTCCTTTACAGTACAGACGGATTCGACCCTCTGGGTTACGCACTGAGTACAATGAAAACAAGAAACTTCAAGAAATCCACACAACTCTTCCATCACCTTCAAATAATCAGACTCTTCAGACCCTCCTCTTTTTCATCTTCAGTAAACGTCATGACATCAGCCGACTGTTGAGGTTTAAACGTGTGCTCAGTGCCTCATGGTCCCGCTGCACTGTGGCAAGACCAACGTTGTTCTTAAGGCCAGGGTGATATATGACCAGTGATTTCTGGGTAGTTTTCCAGCCAAGACCAATCTTAGGAACACACAGTGAAACCTTACTGAGGGATAAAATGTCAATATGACTAATAGCCTATATCCTGTCTGTTTAAATACATATTTTTGATTTGAACAAAAAAAGCTCAACTCATCAGATGTGTCCACTGCAATAAAGGCCAGTTCTCGTTGTGTTAGTGGCAGCCAAAGTATGAAAGAATTGTGCAAATCGTCCAAGACCCCAGATTTAAAGTGATTTTCACATAATATTTAAGTCCCTGTACACCCAACATTGTGTTTTCTGCTGCAACAAGGTGCTCATCATTGTAACCTATCGTGAGTAAGGTTGTTTTACAAAAAGTCTTCAGGCAAAATCATTTTTAAGAGAAAAATAGGAAGAATACACACTTTACACACCAGAGTCCCTCTAAATAGTGTGTGGAAAATGCTTTAACTACAGAGTGGTTAAATTGCAGATAGTATTCTTCAAACCTTATTTCATCCAGATTAATATGAGATCTATTATATTTTATCATATTTCTTACCCACTTTTTCTCGACTTAAAATAAACATATTTTTTGTAAACTGAACATGATGATCCCTGCACACCTATAACAGACATCCTCTTGCGTATGTTGTTGAAGTCCAGTATGGCAAGCAGAGTGTAGGTGACAGGTCGTCCCATCTCTGTCGTAGTTATCGTCCCAGGTGTTCGGGAGCGAAACACAAAGCCGAAGTTTCGAGCTGCTGTCACTAGAGCCCCCTCATCTGGCGATTGAGCCTTGTAAACCAGCTCTCCTAGGCAGACCGATAACATGATGATAAATAAGGGAGAGAAAATACAGATTGGCTTCAGTGTTTTCCACCATTTGACCTCCCACATTCCCCTTGCCTTGCTCACCCTCGCTCTTCTCCTCACTCATAACGGTGTGGCAGAGGGATAGCAGGCGGAAAAACTTGTGAGTGTGTGCGTCTCCCACTTTCACTGATTCCAGCAGGGTGTCGTCATAGAAACAGAAGTCCAGGTCCGCCAGGGGGTTGAAGAGGGTGAAGTCCAATCTCTGAAGATAAATAGTGAGTCAGGGACTCTGATAATATGCCATAAACTAGCAGTACACACATATGCATGTGTATGAATGAGTGTGAAAGAGTGTTTCAGTAAAACAAAACAGTAATGGCTACTTACCTTTGGCTGAGGTGCCAACGGGTCCGTTCCTTCCCCTGACAGCAACACACAGAAGTGTAAGACTTTGTTGTGTACTTTTTGTGTCGGTGTGTGTATGGTTATTATACACATTGGCCACTTTATACGGTACACCTGTACAATCGAATGCAATCCAATTCAACTGCACTGCCAAAAAGTCCATAGAGTCCGATTTTATGACACCAATGTTTCTTTTACGCTGTCATAGAGGTGTCATAGAGAGCGTTCAGGTCATAGTTAGTGATGGTGTTGTACTGGACTGCAGTATATTCAGAGGTGTTTCTAATATTCGGAGCCCTAATGTATGTAAATATTAAGGACGTAGTCCATAACAGCACTCTTTTCTTGCATTCATCTAAAAATGAACATTATAAAGTAGAATTTATGGCACAACAGTTGTATTGAATTACAATAGACTATATAAGTGTACCTAATAAAGTGACCACCAAGTGTATACGTGTGTGTGTGTGGATGCACTAACCGTAAGTCTGTCCATTGATGGAGCACTTATTGAAGCTCATGATGTTCTGAGTGAGAGTTCCAGTCTTGTCACTGAAGATGTATTCAACCTAAAGGAAACATTCAATTGTTACACTGAATCTTAAATTACACAGGCAAAATAAAATATAATATATTGTAAATTTAGAAGTAAGATTAAAGCTGTGTTTTAAAACCATTTTCATATTCTGAAATAAAAAAAATATCTTTTTTACTTGTAATCAGGGTGAAAATATATTTTTTATTGAGATGCATGAAATGGATTTAGGGCGGGGATTTTTTGTCTGCTTATTATGAACTATAAGCCCAGGAGAGTGAAACATCGTTCAGTCCATTATATGTTCTCGTCTCTGAATTTATATCCTTTTTAGTCTGCAGGTGCATTTCATTTGTGCTAGTATGACTGTGGGATGGATGGGCAGAGCACATGATCAATAAACATGCGTGAAATATCAATATCACACACACAGACTGCAGTATTGTCAGTGTGGATGCCCACCTGGCCCAGCTCCTCGTTCAGAGTGGTGGTCCTGGCCTCAGCTGCTGTGTTACACAGTGAGCAGAACATGTCCTGGTCCCAGTTAATGAAGTAGCTGTGACCCAGCCTTATTACCTCCACACTGATACACAGACAGGTGACAAAGGGACATGATTACAACAGTAAAGTACACCTTGACAACAGAGAGAGAGGACAAAAAAAAAATTCTCACGCAGAGCAATTAGTCACACACCCATGCGCTAGTCAGGAAGCAGTGAGTGCAAAAACTTTTAAGACTACTAGATCAGGGGTGCAGGGACCACAGCAGTGGTTTGGAACTGGGGGAGCATAGGAAACAATTGTTAGGGCTTCATCTGCAGCTCTCTTACCTGAGAGGGAATCACTGTAGACAACATATACAAACAATGTCAAATAAAGCTTAATAATGTGTAATATAAGCAGTAATGTAATACAGGAAACAGTGTAATAAACACAATATTTGGTCGAAACAACGGTCTGCTAAGACATCAGCATTAATACCGCTTCTGTTCTGTTTTCTATTACTCATATTTGTCTTTCATCGCTCTTCTACACATGCTGTTTTTGCACAGTATGTCTTGGGCTTCTCCTCACCTGACATACAGAGAGATAGGCACCACGGTGTTGAGAATGATGACGTAAGACCAGAAGGAGAGGAAGGCCGAGAACAGGAAGTTGTCCACAGGGGGGTCCCAGGGCAGATAGCTCTGAAACAGGGAGCCAACCTCTCTCTCCCACACTGCGTTACCCACAGCCAGGATCACACCCATACACACCAGGAAGCCAAAGATCTGACAGAAACATGCAGATGGAGAAATGTTACAGTCAGAGTAAGCAGGAGTACAATCATACCTTACATTTGGATCTCTTAGTCAGTTGAACCCAAATCAGGATAGAATGACTGAGGAGATATAGGAAATGAGATTCAATCCACTGAGCTCATATCCTGAAATAGTGACGGTGTGAGCCATGAAAGTGAGAGGTTTGGGGTGTCCTACCCAGAGGACCAGAGTGTTCATCAGGCGATCAATGCTCGTACGCTTAAACTTGGTGCGACCGCTGTTCTGCATTAGCTTGGTATCTGGGCCTGAGACAAAAAACGGGGGAAAGTTAGAACTGTTATTCACATCATATACATACTTTCACACACAAATATTCACGGACACACGCAACCTGCGAAGATGACCAGGCCGTAGCAGGCCTCCGTGTTGCGGAGGACGCATCCTCGTAGCAGCATGTTCTGGTTCGTCAGGGTGTATTTCTTGTCTCTCCAGTACAGAGTCCCACAGAAACGATCCAGCTTGTTGTTGGGGGGTTCACACACCACCTCACCTTCACACACACAGAAATATAAATCATAAGCTATATCATAGATGTCCACCAAATCCAATTACATTATTAGGTTTGTTTTCCTATAGCTGTATGATATAGTGTTGAATTAATCATGCATGTGACATCAGGCCGTTGTCACACACATAAACACACACCCAAAGACTGAAACACACACCTTTCGTAAGTTGATAAGCGGCAAAGTGTGGGTTGATTTGCAGTAATGCATTTTCCACAGCAGGTGAGGAATGTGTGGGTGTGGGCGTGCTGTGCTGTGCTCACATACAAGTCTTTCGTTGTGTGAGACTAGTGGGCGAGAGATGATAGGCTGTTGCTTAATGCTGGCAGGGGACGGCAGAGAGAAAGTGTGTGTGCGTGTACATTTTGTGTGGGGTTTTTTTATGTTCATGTTGCGAGGATGTGAAGGTGGATAAGGTTTGTGTTAAACACTGAAACCTGCTTGACCTATATATTATCAAGAACGGAAGATGAACCAAACCATAAATCGAAATAAGAGGAGGAGTTTTCTCAAAACTCACCGTCGAATGAAGCCAAGTTGTTCTGGTTTCCAAGTTCAGATGTCACTGAGACAGACTGACGAACCTTCATATTGGTCTCTCTGCAAGATAATACAGCACACAGCGATTTAGATGTCGTGTCCCGTTTCTTCTGCAGATTGTGAGGTACTGTGAGTCGATGGTAAAATATGGTGTGTTTTCTGACCCATCTAGCTCGGCTGTCTCAATGTAACAGAGTCCATGAGGTTCGCTGCTGGACAACAGGAGCAGGTCAGCCTGAAAGAAGATACAATATCAGAGCATCCACTGCACTGACGGCACAGGAACATAATTAGTACGGCCCAGATGGCACAGTAATGATAGAACTGACAGAGTATTTGCATCTGCAAACAAGTTAGTAATTAACAACAGTAGGTAGCGTCCCCTAATAAGGCACAGACTGTACTGTATCAGTATCAGTACTGTACTGTTTAAGTAATCTGAATTAAAATGGGCCCTGCAAGAATACTGATCACTGTGTGTGTATGTGTGTGTGTGTGTGTGTGTGTGTGTGTTTGTGCATGTAATATCGATGTGTTGGACAGACACTTACTGCCACGAACTGTTTGTTTTCCAGTTTGACGATATCACCCACTCGAACGTTCATCCACTTTTCATTCTGTAGCCTGAAACAGAGAAACAGAGAGAAAACAGTGAGTTAGAGAAGCTAAGAAATTGTTGCGATTTAGGAAACCTTGCAAAGAAAAACTTTACTAAGTTGCCATTGCATGACAGGAAACTCACGAGCCACGGATGAGGACCTGAGACTGACGGTTGTTCACTTGGTTGTCACTCTTGTGACGAAACTGCAGGTGACAAATATCAATATGAGCTTTTCAGGAGCGGAGCTGACCATATTCAAGAGTTTCTGCTATAAATAATCTGGTGCCCCTGTGTGATTTCACAAAATTAAGTGAGTATATGGTGATCAGAAAACATGCTCACATAGTCATCTGTGGCATCCTTTACTGCGGTGATGGTCAGCACGAGAGCTAAAGGCACAATGGTAGTGAACCAGGAGAGGGAGGAGATCTGAGGTATTAGCTAGACAGAGACAGAGAAGGTGGGTTTGCAGATTAGTTTGAAAAGGGACATCAAAGCAGTCAGAGAAAACCACATCTCACCCAAGCTACACAGACCGCTCAACGTCTTCAAGTAGAAGCAATAAGGTTGTACAACTGACTACAACCATTCATTGAATTTCCGTGTTTCAAGCCAACTATCACTTTCTGACACATCTCTGTCCTTAAGAGATGTAAAACCAGTAGCTCTTCAGCCTTTGAAGTTCCAGCTGCACTCACACACACACTGTCTCTCTCTCTTTCTCCCTCCCTCCTATGCTTACATCCCTCTTTACATCCCCCCTTGACCTCCTCTACTCACCTGCAGTATGAGCAGGAAAAGGAAGTAGGTGTTGGCTACTTCCTGGAACTGCTCAAACAAGTTGACGGGCAGAAAGGTGACAATGTTGTACTTGGATGTCATAATGCAGTTACTCTGGATGAGGAGGAGGGAAACAATCATATGGACTCTCACAATATCTCAGTTGAATTGCTTCAAAGATTAAAATGTTCTCTCATCTTTTATGAACATAATTTATATCATGGACAAGAGAATGTTCTTACCGCGTACTGAAACTTTTCGTTGTACTCTCTGTCATTGGCTCTGACCCTCCTCTCCTCCTCTGAAGGAACAAGGCACCAAATTAGTCATTAGAGGATGATATCACAACTGAAATATACAGAATGCACTGCATCTCTGTGTGTCAAAGTGGATAAAGGGACCAATTGTAAATCCTTAATAACCACAGCAGTTAAATCCTCCGGAGACCTGCAGAGAAAGAGAGTGAGGGAGACAGACAGTCCACTATGTTTGTGCAGATATGTATTAATCAATGAAGCTGGAGTAGTCTGCTGGAGGTTGTTTTATTAGTATTGGGTCAGACACAATCATTCTGACACACACACACGCACACACACACACACGTCAGATTATGTCAGATTATGATCTGCAGAAACGCAACACAAAACCACAGATGTGCATCTGTATGAGTCAACAGGAGTACCGAGACCCTTTACAGGTATTCACAGATGAAGAATAACATCCATTACACTTATGACTTAAATCTACAGAGAATGGAAGTAAAACAGTGAAATGTCTGCCCTCCTGACCCTGCTCTTTATCCTCTTGCTGTTTTTAGGTTTCTGTTTATGCTGAAGCAAGGTATTTTAGGAGTTCCCCTCCTCTTTCACCAGGCCTGGCTCCTCTAATATTGATGAGACTGCTTTTTAAATGAAATGACTGGCCTGTTTTGCACAGGACTGTACACAGTTCATATGCACGCACACACGCATGCACGCGAGCACACACACACACACACACACACACACACACACACACACACACGCATACACGCACACACGCACTTTTGCAAAGACGTACTGTAGCTCTGAAACCACAAAGTCCTCAACACACTTTTGACTGAGAGGCAATGAGGCGCCACAGGAAGGGACATCACACAACAGAGGCCTTATGCACACATATAAACAAAGACCATGTGGTTTCCTGTTTCTGCAGCACTGTGAAGCCTGGTCATGTCTTTGTTTGTGCTCTACCAAACAAACCTCTTAAAGAGATACCGTAGCGCTCCTCTTTGTTCTTACAGGTTATGATCAAGACAGATTTGGTCACAACGCCAGACGACTTGAGACCAGCTGGGCTGTTGTCACAGTGGATTAGATAACTTAGAAAACACAAATTATTTCTCTCTGTGTTTAACATTCTAAGTTGCTATCAAGCGCTAATACCTAAGTAGAGTTACGACAAGAATAACCAAATAAGTGGACACTATCACAGTGTTTGTTATATTGCAATATTGACATGTAATGTATTTCATATACTGTATATTATATATTGCTATGGATACACTTTTAGTTTATATATTATAGTCCATTTGTAACTTAACAAGCATGCGAATTACATGACAAATCAAGGTACTTCCTCACACTGATGTAAAACAAATTCAACGTATTGCTATTATTATTTTTATGTAACTAACAATAAATAATCGGCCTCTTAGAAATAAGTTAGAATAGTCTTGTTTTTGACTATTATAGTATGCTATCCTATGTTGGTATTATATATTCTAGCTGTTTTAGTTTCTTTATATTTATAGTGTATTCTAATATATTCTTGATATTGTGTATTCTATAGCTATACAGTATATCTCTAGTGCATTTATGTATATTCACTGTGTGTTTTCTTTTGCCGTAGATAACTTAGCTTAGCTTGCTACTCTGATTCGCATAACAATATCAGATTTGTCTGATCTTGTGAGTACACGTCTATTCTGTTGAAACCTCCTCTTTTCCCTCTGGCACCTCTCCCAGCTACCTGAAGGTCATTAGTTTGCTTTTTGGGGGAAGTGTTCACCAGACAGATCTGACAGGCAGCGAAAAACCTGCAACCCTCCATGAAGAGGCCACAATGCTTGTGCAAGGTAAGCACAGAGACACTGAGGCTTCCGAGCATCTGATGTCAGGACCAGGCGGTGTCTGTCCCAGCTGCGCAAGCTCACCAACCCAAGCTGAATGCATGAGCATCTTTAGCAAACTGCCCATTAAGTGTTTAATGTCTCTGACAGCTTCAAGGGCACTAGAAGCCCTGACGCAGAGTAGCTGCTACACAGCAAGTCTGTATAAATCTATAAAACTCCATTACTGAGAAATTTTCAGTTGCAGGCTTACTCTGCTGTGAGGGTAAGGTTTACATAAACAGCTGGGACATAAAGTAGTACATCAATATTGATTCAAAGTAAAATACTTAATACCAGAATGACTAAGTGAGTCACTTTCTTTCATTCCTGTCTCTTTAACACTCTTCCCCCAATGGTTGGACATGTAAGGACACGTGCAACAGCACACAACCTCATGTGTCCATAAGCAGCAGCACACTCTCACAACACAGTGGACAAAGACTGAAGCCCTAACAATAATGAGCAAAGAGATATCTGAGCTATGGGAAATGCTGTTGTCATTGCCATGACTGAACCTAAGGCAGGATCAGTTTCTGCACAGACGTGATCATCACTCACTGTGCCTCATTTAATTCGATGAAGATGGGATGGTAGAATTGTCTGCGGTCATGTGCGTGCCTGTGCACACACACACACATACACATACACAATGATCTAATTAGTTGGAAAACAATGCGGGTGACACAGTGACAGAGCTGGAGGTCAAATCAAGGTGCACATCCAATCGGATTTGTGATAGTTAAGCAAAGGAATAAGGATACAGATGAGGCAGTGCAGTGACAGCGGAGGCTGGCGCCTGGAAGATTGATCAGTGTCTCAGCCAGCAGAGACAACAAGGACATCATCCTACTTATTTATGCAAAATTCAGATTCAGATAAACTCATGTTTTGTTTACACATGCACAGATTTATAACCAGCTCTAAACATCAGGAAAACAGCTGAAAACTTTGAGGCACATTATACAGGTTGTCTCTTAACAATATAGGGATATACAACTGATAACAGAAGAAAATGATCCAAAACACTGGGTGGCAGTGAAGACTTAACAGTAACTATGAGTATGAAGAATGAGAATTATTGTTATTTCCCTGTTCCCGGATGCTGATGTCTAATAAACACAGTGAAAAAGTTCAATGTAGTATAAGTACAAGCTATAATATAAAATAAGCCAATTAGGTCTGTAATACGCACCCATGTAATATGATGAGGTGTAAGCAGTGTACACACACAAACACATAAAAACTGTTTAGTAAAAGATGGGGCCAGCGTGATGAAGAAGCAGGAATGAAACTTGGACTCAGTTGGGATGAGGATGATGAATTATGTTTATTTGAGATGCAGTTTGTGCAATCAACAACCTCCTGATGATCATGATGATGACGATGATGATGATGATGATGATGACAGTGAAGACTGTGGCACAATAATAATAATAACAATGTCAATTAAACGCAGCCTTAACTGTCACACAAACTCGTACCTGTACACCTCTTTTTCGATTTGGCTCCATTTAGTCCTTTCTGTTTCTTTCTTTTTAGGGAAAGGACGAGTGGAAACCATTTCTCCGGGATGTCTTTCGGTATTGTCATCTTGACTTTTCCAACAGTGACCGTCTAGATTATTGTTCAAATGTGCGCTCTTTCAATGACCGCCGCATCTCCGCAAGGACGCGGGGATGAAGCTCAGGTCCCAACTTCAGTCAAGTTGGATTAACTGCGCACCGTCCCATCCCTGCCTCTCTGTAGCTTCCTCTCTCGCCTCCCCAAACACACACACATGCGCGCATGCACGCACTCACACTCATTTGTTCTGTTTTGTCTCTCTCTCTCCTGCCGCAGAAACACTGAGGTCATTTTTTTCAGCAACTTTACAGTCGAATTTGTCGCTATAGGCTCAGCCTGCTTAAGAGTTATATGATTATAAAACATGGAGGTTGTAGACTTATTTATATCCTTAAGCTAAAGGTTGTAAAGTTTTTGTCTCGATGATGCACACACACAAAAAAAAGTGTTTCATCAATTCTGCTGCACAGCAGCCTCATCAATCAACTGACGCACCATGTGCAAAGTCTGCATCGTCATCTTTTCAGTCTCTTCCACAACACAAACACTGTCCGCTGTAAGCATTACGTAACCACAGAGGCTCTGGTTTGCAGTTACCACGGCAACCGTTCTGCAGGGACCCTACAGACGAGTCGCCGAATGAGGAAACTGGCCGCCATTTTGGATCTTTAGGCATGAGCACATTGCAGCATAGCTGTGGCGTTTAGAGCCAAAGTGGCTCGTGCACTTGCCCAGTTTCCTGCACGTTTTAACGGAGACGGTGCACTGCAGTGGGCAGGGCCAGACAGGTGCCTGCGCACGTGCTGCACGGTGAGCCTCGTGCAGATACATTATAGATTGCCAACCACACGCTTTTACGCACACTTCTCATATGCATTCCCTGATCGTGCTTTGTGGCCATATGTAGAATACTTATTTAACACACACACACACGCGCACAAGTATACTTAACTAACAAAAGGTGAGAGAGCTAAAGCTTCCATTCTCAGCTCTACAGGTGCACATATGGCTGACATATTCACCATGTTAAGTATTGACAGGAAGCCTACCTGTAAGAGTCAGATGGATAGGGCGAATTAAGGGTGATTACATTATTTTAAAAAACAACAACACACAAACACATGATAGGCTATATTTCAAATACCAATTTGAGGAAGAAATAAGGTTATATGATACTCCAATCAGGTCTGGCATGCCCTTTTGTTTAAACTTACAAAAAAACGTTTCTTTGTAACATTTTGGTGTTTGGGACAGGACCTTTGCAAGATTGCTAAAACACAGCTTATATTGATTTAGGCTAATATAAGCTATTTATAGGGCAATTTACAAATTTAAACTTTGATGTAATTTCAGATGCACATTTTCCTTTTTCTCTCCATCATTATGAATTAGGCTCCATGTTCATTTCTGTTAAACCGTATTACTAAAAGTTATAAATACATCCACAGTAGCCTATCAACATGCATGCCTTTGCTCACTGTCACAACCTCCTCCTCCTCTTAGCTCTCTTCCCCAAAAATGTATTTAACACATTTAATTTAGGTAAAAATGTCTGAAGTCCAAAACTTTGTCTCAATGGTGCCATCATAGATTATTATAGATAATTAGTTAGGGATGGGTTAAGAGGTCAAGGCTAAAGTTAGTCCAGCTAGCAAAAACAGCTAAACAGCTAAAGCATGAACATGTTTTGTGCTTAATTAGGGGTCCGCACACATTAAGAGGTTTGGAGCCATTGATGCATACAGAGCACAATGGCTCTCTATGGCTCGGCAAAAAATAATAATTTGATTTTCACTTATCAGCCAAGAAAATAAATCCTATTTAGTTATACTGTCCCACCATACGTCCCAATCACCCTTAATTCCCCCAGGTAATCATAGACCAATTAGTGTAATGAAAATGAGGCTCTGTCCTTCAACTCTGCGTGGGCACCTTACGTAAAGGACCATCACCGTCTAACTGTGGTCCCATTTGCACTTGGCAATAATGTGCATCTTGTACCCAAACTGACTGGATTTTACAAGATTAAATTTACAACTGGCATTATCATGCAGTATGTCTGTAGTCTTCTCTGACATCTGATTTGAGCTTGTCATGTCAAGTTTACTCTTCAGTAACATGTGCATATTTCCCTGGTGTTTGCATTTTTAAAGACACACGAGGCATGTGAGGCATTTGAAACATGAAGTTATGCTGTTGTCTTTTTCTTTTTAAAACTGAAGAGAAGGTGGTTACAGCAGTATCAGCAGGGATGAATTGCAACTCCATTCAATGTTTTCATCCATCAGCAGAGATGACACTGTTTATCTGGACATCAACCAATGTACAGCATACAAGCCTATATAATAAGCATAGTGTGCATTTAAGTGCTATCTGACAACAATCCATTCACTAACAACACGTATTAACACCAGGTAAAAGTCAAAACTCTGAGAGGCTTTGTGAGCTTTCCTACCAACAGATACTCCCACCTCTTTCACCATCATCAAACCTTCAGGACCACTGACGCTCACCAAACTAGTTTACCTGAATGCACAAACGATTAGTGTGTTGAGTGTCTGGTACTGACCCGGAGGAGGCCTCTTTCTGAACATCTCCACTCTGCCGCCGTCCTTCTACTATGGCCCATGGGATTGTCTGCAGAGGGAAACAAGAGGAAATGAAGAACGCAGAAGAGAAGCAGCACTAAATGTGAAGAGTACTGAGGAACGAGGACAGTTGAAGTGAGAAACAGATGAACGTATATTTTCTTCTGACTCACTTATTTAAAACCAAACAGGGCTCGTGCCTGCATTCAAGTGATGCACTCTATTTATTTCATGTCTTTTTTTTGTTTTCGGGGTGTGAAAAATATTCTCATAGAAGAGAGAAAGTAACTCAATCAGGCATTTCAACCACAGGACACACACACACACACACACACACACACACACACACACACACACACCAGACGATCTCTGGTCTGTTAGAGCCATAATGAGGAAATGACATTCAGCAGAGAGCTGCATCTGTCTCTGTGGCTCACACAGTGTCAGGGGACTGGTGGCTCGGGCCAGATCCACTGTCAGTCTCCTCCTACAGTGGATGAGAAAGAGTAACGGAGCGGTATTCTTCCCAGCACTTTTATCTTACCAACATTTATGCTGAGCTGTTAACACTACACACCTCGATGCTTTCGCTCACTGTTTTATCTCGGCTAAGTAATGGAAGAAGATGAGGGTGGGCGAGATGAGGTTGCAGAGGCGAGGCGTTATACATCCCAGCCTCTGGTTTGTAGTGCATGCTATAGCAGGTACAAACAGTATGGCAGACAGGGGCTCGAGGCAGCGAAACTTCCAATCAATACTCCTGAGAAAGAGCGCTCAGCCTCTCTCCATGTGAGTTGGGCCGATCAGCTTTCAGCTACAGTTTCCAGCATCGTCTCATGCCCGGTCATACACTCTTCTCTTTAAGTGCATGCTTTCTACTCACTTTCTACACTGTACACTGCCTCTTTATGAATCGAATAGAGACTGGGGAATGAGAGTTTGCCATGACCTCTTGCCTCTCTCCAGTCTTTTAGGTGTCACATCTCTCGCTCTCCATTTGTGGCTGCCGTCTTGTATAACCCTATAGTCCTGCAGTGCCCTTATGAAATAAAGCTGGCAAACCGGGGACACAATGAATATCTGAGCACCTTTCTTGCCCTTTGTGGAGAATTCCTTCCATATATCTCACTGGAGTCTGGCTGATGTTTTCGAGGATTTGGAGCAGCAAAAATCCTTGATGAAATGTGTAAACTGCAACACCGAAACTCACTTCCTCACATCTCAAACATTACAAAAAACAAGCATACATGTACTGTATATATAATATTCCTGTCGTCAGTTGGTTAGGTCATTATATCATTTCCCTGCAAGTGTAAATCTTCTTGAGCAGAAAAACACACATTTATGCGTCTGACCTCATAATATTACGTTTGTCTATGTAACCTCAGGATTCTTTACAGGTTTGTTAACATCTGCGTCTAAAAAACCCAGAATATTTTTCATTGATATCTACATGAAATCCTATTTACCTGAACCCAAAGAATATACTTGCTACCATCATAAGAAAGCCAACCAATAAATTGAAACAACAACAGACAAGGATGACTCTAACAAAGTGAAATCATTATGCACTCTAAGAGTTTTTAATCTCTTTTGATATACTACCAAAATATACAAATGGAGTTTTGTGTTGCTATATCTGCAGGACATCTTGTTAACATGAACTATAAGTTTACTGTTGGTCCCTATAGTTACTTTCTTAAGGAAGAAGATAATGAAATACTTTAATGCCTCTCACAAAGTTAAGTCATCATGTAATTGAATTATACCCCAATTAGTCCAAATGTTCCGTTAGACATAACAGGACATGCGGTGATGATGGGGTTAGTACACAACGACATGTCTAACTTTCACTTTGACTTTGGGAAATGTTCTGACTGATATCAGGCTACAGAGAGGTTTAAAATCCCCAGAAACTAAGAACTGTACATCTACTATATGAACTGGGCAGCTTTAATGTAAATCACATTGCCTTGGCGCAGTAATATGAGCTGAACTCTCCCCATTGAAAACCGAGAGAAACATCAATATTTTTTCAGCTGATTAAGTACTGGACTGCATGGCAAACCCGGCTGGCCATGCATGATGGAGGCGGCTAACTACCGCTACAACAGTTCAGGAAACAGACACCTACCTTTTCAAGTTGGCGTTATAAATAGGTTTCTGGTGGAGACATCCTCGTTGCTTCTCTCGCCGGGGTCATAGTGAGGTTTCGGGCTTGAGCTGGACGTTGGCCCCGTGATGGGACGCGGTCACTGAGGTGGGAGGGTGAAGTAGAGACACCGGGATGCGCTAGAGACGCCGTGTCGAGGTGAGGGAGGAGGGTTTGGCTTCGGCCAGGGGAGAAGAGGGAGGAGGGGCTGCACCTCCGGCTCCTTCTCCACCTCCATCTGAACCTCCCGCATTTAAGGACCTTAAAGAACATTCACTGAGGATCTGACATTTGCTCTCCATCACTGGTGGTGTTTTCTTAGTATTGCATGCCCACTGTTTGGAAACACAACTTTAATAAAAAACAAAGAAAACAGTTTTAGCATTCAAATATATGATGTATGTTTCTGTTTTTATCTACACATAAAGATATGTACTGCTTTAACACCTTTTAACACACACTTGCCATTTATTAATAGCCTTGTTTTTATGTCCTTTTGTGTCATACTGACCTCTACTGCTTTGTCAGCATTATCTGCTCCAGCATCTGTTCACTGCAACATCTGTATTATGCCCAACATAATGCAATAATCACTGAAACATTCTTATACCTACACCACATTGAAGATTCAACAATTAAATTGTAAACAAAATCATTTTTATATATTAGATCAAGGATTTTGTGTAGCCCATAGATCCCTATCAGAATTCAAATACTAAGTATAAGTTATATGCTCATACATGACACAATCCTTTACTGGTGGAAGAAGGGGAGATGGAGAGATGGTCTCATAAAAAAGATCACATAAAACCAGGTTCAAAAAAATGATTTTGAGAAAAAAGTAGGCTACCAAACACCATTGACATTGACATGTCGTCTTGTCGTTTTCTGCTCTCTTGTTCCATTATTGCGTGTGAATTGTTGTCACATGGTTTGTGATATTGTCAATGATACAGACCACCCATTCAATACAGCCTTGACCTTTGTGAACAGGCCTCAAAGGTTCAAACACATCATTACTCTGTAATGAATCTATTTCACAATCTTCTGTTGAGTGTATTCCAGATGGACTCAAGAGATAAAACCAATCTAAAACAATGATGAGAGGACTCACATATTCACAATGGAGACTTGTGTATTCTGTAGTGGCTCCCTGAATTGACCCTCTTCTTCTTACGCACAGTAAACATCCTAAGAGACCTTTAACAATAAACATGTGCACTACCAACTAGGTTGAAGCAATGAAATGTAATTTTTCTATAGAAATAATAGAGAAATAAATCAACACTTATATATATATATATATATATATATATATATATATATATATGTATATATTGATTTTGTACACCTATAAATGTAAAAGGATATTGGACTGACCGCGGACACTAAGTTGAAAATAATTGTAAATAAGAGTTTTTTTTAGGGTAAAGTTTCATTGAATCAGTTTAACACATGCTCAATAGTCATAATGATATTCAGTAAAAGTACATACAACTCAGTAATATAATTTACAAAATCAATATTATAAACAATACAGACATCAATGTAAACAGCATTATAATACAATCAGTCTACTGGCTGTGTCAAAGAAGCTCACGCATGCAGTAATTTATAAGACATAAATAAGACATTCCTCTTTTTTTCTCCAACAGAAGAAGACAGATACCAACAGTGGCGAAGCTCAGAATTTTCTGTCTCCATCCTAATTCACAACCAGATAACCATCTTTAACTGTCAGTGTTGGTCATGATGACATATTTTCATGACAGTAACACTTAGAGATGTGCAGCCTTTAACTCCTCTCCGTTGTCCCACGTGATGCTGGGCTGCTTGATTTTGTCACTGATGGTGGGGAGAGTGGAGAGGCTCTCAGGGGGATCTGGGTCAGGCAGGTGCCAGTGGATGAAGATCAAATACATGAAAGTACCTATAACACCTCCGATAAGTGGGGCCACCAAGGGCACCCAGAACCAGTAGTTGTAACACCTGGAGAGCAGACAAAGAGTTCAGATGAGAGTTTGTTTATTTAAATTGGAGTTTATCAATATTTTTTATATGAACACTGAATGTGTAATATAAGAGGGATTGCTAAAAAACACACAGAGAACCACTACCCAGCCTTCCAGCTCTACAGAGCTTTTTTGCCTCATTCAGCTCAATGTTTTGGTTAAGGTTTCACATTTCCAGAGGGAGAAGCAGCTATTTTCAGCAAACAAACTGTGTGCACTACCTGCCCAGCACCAAACAAAGCTACAGAACAAACTACTGTCTTAGTGTTAAATACAGAAATAATATTGAATTAGCTACTTGCTAATATCAAACAATATTAGCAAGCAGCTATTTTTTGCAGTTGGTGGTAGTTTGCTATTAAAAACAAAAACACTGAATATTGGACTTGCACCTGTCAGGTGGCCAGAAACACAACGCGATGGGATGACAACATTGCTCTCTGTCTGCTGTATATGTGTAAGTATGCAATTATTTCCTAAGACCTTACTCAAAACAGCTTCGCAAGCATTCATATGTTAGAGATGTGTGTTTTTCCCATTTGTCCAGCACTTTTTTGGAGATATTCTGCCACCTAGTGGGCCAGAATCAACTACTGCAGCATTAATAATAGTTAAGCACAAAGAGTATTTAACAGCTGTAGAGGCAGAGTAAAAACATGGGATCATGAGGTAGAGCAACGGGTTGCATCGTGGAACAAACACTAGGTCGTAATAAGATGTTCTGTAACAAGCTGACACTTGTTTCTTTGATCCTGCTGCTGATAACCCCTGACATATGTGATTTTCACAAGGTGAAAGAACTGTAAGAATGGCAAACAATGTCCTCACTAGAGTGTCATTTTGAACATTATGAATGAATTGTGTAGCTCCATCAGTCAGGCCCTAAAATGATTGATAAGAAATATGCAATCTTAGGTTATCAACTTGGAAAGTTGTATGTGTTTGGTGCTGGGCATGTGTGCTCGATAAGATACTTACGTGAAGACCTCAGTGCCCCAGCCTGCAGTCAGTGTAAAGAGGCGTGGTCCCAGGTCCCGAGCAGGATTTATTGCACCACCACAGTTGGCTGACATTGACATGGAGATCCCCAGGACGATCGCTGCCACTATAGCAGGAATCAGCTTTGAGGGAGCCGGGGTGTTCCTCTTTTCATTCAAACCCAGGATGCACAACATCAGCATGCCAGTGCCCACTACCTAATAAAATGAACAAGTATACGACAGCAAAGTATGAGTTGAGTAAAGAACCAGCTGTTAAAGTCCTGATTAAAGTTTACAGAAATCCTCCAACTGACCTGGTCAAGGAAACTTCTGCCCAAAGTCATGTACTCTGAAGGATATGTGGCAAATATAGACGCTGTCTCATTTGGGCCATAAACAGTCAATACTCCTCCACTAAACTCCATTATAGCATCTGAGACAGACACAGGAGGAATGTAGAAAACAAGAAAACAAAGAGACTGAAAATGTGTAAAAAGCTTCTGCATTTGTTATATTTCTGCACACATTTATTAAGGTCTTTTCTTTAATTAATCACCCATCTTTATGTCAATGATAAAGTGTTTGAAGTGCCAGAAAGACAAACCATAGTAAACTAGGTAGACGAGGCTTGATGCCAAATAAGCCCCCAGCACCTGGCAGAGGGAGTAGGGCACCAGCCTTCCCCAGGGCACCTGGCCCAACACACAGAAACTCAGAGTCACCGCCGGGTTCAGATGAGCACCTACAGAGAAAAATAGGAAATAGAGGGAAGACAGGAAGGAGGAAGACAGAAGTGAATTACAGTTAGAGAGATTGGAAGGTAATTAAATATGAGATTATTTGTAGTCGTATAGTGTGTCAACTAACTGGTAGATATCAGACTGGCGACCTTGAAAAGATTGACGAGGCCTCTTTTCAGAGAGCGCCAGATATCAGTGTGATAAATCTAGAGTGCTCGGATCATTGAATCGCTGCAGTAAGTCTTAACTCAGCGTGTGAGGCATACAATGGAATACTGCTGCATTTCACTGTATGTTCATCTTTCAAGGCTGCCAGTTTGGTTGTGTGATAGTATTGAGTTCATTTAATTTACCTGTGATGCCCTTGGTGAGGTACATAGCTGACATCACACCCACAGAGAAGGCCATGTTGACTGACAGGAACTGGCCTTTAGTGTCTCTGCTTGTCTTTACCTGGGCTGCAGCAGAGCAGCCAAAGAGCTTCACAGAAGATGGAAAGAAAACCCATGAGGCACGAAACGTCAAGAGAAATATTTTAAACATCCGGAAAACAAGAAACAATCTTGTGCACAGGCAAAAATACAAATGCATTGTAAATACCTTATTGCACTCTTAGTTATTGATTAATCATTTATAAGTCGAACAAACATATAAGTTGTCACAGAAAAATTTGAGGTTTATAATATAATATCCTCTCATTATCGTAAACTTTGCAATGAAACTGTCCACTTCTTATCTAAATGGCCACAGATGAAAAGAGGTAAACACACACATGTATTGTATGTGTTCATCTCATAAAAACCATACCTGCAGTAAACATCTTATAAAACTTTATGACTTATTAATCACTAATTAACGTTGTTCTTTTATATATTCAGGTAAAGGTCACATAAAAGTGAGTTATGGTATCATAACAAGTCGTTTAAATGCCAAGGCAGTTAAAGTTTTTGGAAACAGTTGGATGAAAAAAGTGCCGGTGAAATGATGACATGACCACTTTACCAACACCGTTGTAATATTCCAATTGATCATCAAAATTAATTTTAATATTTTTCTTAATGGTATTTACATTTTACAAATATGCATACTTACACACATACACAAACACAAACAACTAAACAACAAATACAACCGCACATAAATAATCTTTGTGGATATATATAAGACCTAAATAATATTTTTAACTTATATTATCAATATATATATATATTTATAACTTTGTAGCTCACACAATTTGAAGTAGTTTGTACATCGCAAAATCTTTTCCCATTGGTCTCAGGTAAAATATACCTCTAGTTCTTTCTCCCACTGTGACTTAACACCAGTACACCAGTTAAAAGTGCTATGCGGTGGTAATCTATATATTTTAGAAACTGTTCCTTTTACGAAAGACAACTTAAAAACCTGATTGTCACTTACCAGCAAGACGAAGGTTCCTAAGAGCTCAGCCAGGCACTCTCGCACCAGGGCATTCCTCACTCTCACAACACGTCGGTTCAACATTGCTGGAGTTTAATCCATTTTATCATCTCACACTAAACTCTGCCTCTGTTGACAGACGGGCCAGCTGTTGGTCTGTCGGTCTGTCAAGGAGCTGATGTGAGTGGAGGAGGTGTCAGCGCTAATGCTAAAAAAAATTATTGTCACAATTTCCATCTGACCATCTAAGGACCTGCACTCCTTATCCCACTTCTTCCTCTTCCCTGCCTTGTCTTTTTCCACAGCTGGTCAAACACTATCACTCATTTATTGGGTAGTCACACTTCGGGATTGGCTGAAGCAAAGCACATAATGTGTCTCACCTGTTAGAGGCCATAAACAGTCAGATTATGTGTTCACAGTAGTGACAGATGCCAATAACACACAGAATATGTACATACAGTATAGATACATACATACACACACACACATCAATCTGCATCCATGTGCAAGACAGCAGGTAGGTAACAATAATATACTGAATAAATGAGAATACACCACATAGCACTCAAAACCACCAGCACAATTATTTACATTATTACGACTCCCTTCGTCACAACACCTACAAAACTATGAGAATCATGAATGTCAAATCATTGGTGCGTATTTGACAAATACGAGTGTGCATACAATTGTTTGTACAGTCTTTATTCTGTATGAAAAAAATGGTATACCTTAATAGTTTTTATAAAAACTTCTTTCTCCTTGTGTATTGTATATTTGTATCTGTATATTGTATCAAAACTGGTAAATGAGCTCCATGGAATTCCAGTCTAAAAACAAGCCATAAATACATGTAATACAAAATATATTACTACTGGTGTGGTGAAACCTTCTTGGCGAGTGTTGAATAAGGTGTTGGGTAAGGCGGTTGATAGGGAAGCCCCTCTCATCATCTGACAAGATGTAACCATAATCCCCTTCACTGAACTTTGGACTCCTTTGTGGATTATGTAACCCAAATAATTGCTGTGTAGGAGTAAAGAACCGTGATATTGCTGATCATTTTCAGAGAGGCACATGACTGTGGCATGTCAACTATTTGACACAAGTTGATCCTGCATCCTTACTGGTGAGAATGCTTTGATTTCTGAATGAAAACTGATGAAAACTGATGAAAACTGACTGGTAGGGTACATTTAGAGTTGGCAATCTGTCATGACATGGTGTGTGGAGAGATCAACAGCAATTGACATCTTATCTTATCACATCTACTGTTGAGTATCTCTGTTTGGTAATGTGTAAAAGGACTTACTCAGCTTGAGAGTTTTGTCCCGTGCCTTTTTTTTCTGTGAACTGATAGAAAGATAACATCATATCTCACTATCACCCTCTGCATGACATAAGAATAAAAAACATCACTTTAAGTTAGGATTTATTAAAAAGCTCGATAAACTCTTTATGCAGCCAGCTTCTTTTCACAATATATTACAACATGCATATTTATTTACAGGCACCACATTACTAGCTTTTAGCTGACCAAAGTATCTGTAGCAAAGGTTGGTTGACTTGAATGAGCCATCAGTGCATTTTAATCATGGGCTGGTAAAGAAATATCACAGGCCTTGAGGTAGATGTAATCCTGTAGATAAAGTGAGAAAATTACACATTTTTGACCTTGTCTCTAAGATAATATTTCCTGTAGGGATTTGTTATAATGACTACAAATTGTTGAATTATTTTAATGGCATTAGGCACAGATATCTCACTTAAATCATGTCTGGTTCTTAGCCACTAGCAAAGCACCTCAACAATCCTCATTTTTCCAGATGTTTAATAGGGCGACGAAGCACCATGTCCACAGGCCCAGGGGGCAGTCTTCTGATCAAAGTCCAGACCTCCAGGCGCCTCATCCCCACCACGCTCATTCCTTCAATCTCTTCCACCTCATCACCAGGACACACCTCATCAACAGGACCTCCTGAAGGGAAAAGGTGGATTTAATGAACAGTTCTGTATACAAAGAATCCAAATCAGCTTTATTGACCGTGCACGTTGAAAGAATTTGACTTTTTTGCGTCTCTCATAATGTACTTACACAGAATAGAAATAGAAATAACAGCTAGGGACTAGCTCGACATATAAAGGTTAAGAGTAGGCAGGACAGCTATCTACACAAGTAGCGAAAATAAGTGTTAATACAAACATTATATAAATATGTAGAAAAAGCAGCAATGCCCAAGAATAAAATAGAAAATAAAACATCTATACGTATGTATGTCAAATGCTCTGTGACTTGTAAACAAAACCAATGGTTCCGAAGAAATAAATATTGAATGATTGAATATACATTAACCGTATGATTATGTAGAGTATGTACAAGTAAAGACATTTATCTACTGTAGATACAGCATGTAGGATTTATATTGACAGTGACAGATGTTATGTATGTATTAACAGAACAAATTGTTCATTAAAAACTGCAAAATGATAATCTATAATGACAGCGTATGTCTTATTGAACTGTTCATCCGAGTGACGGCCTGTATCTTTTGTCCTGTAGCGCCTCCCAGAGTGGAGAAGCTGAAACAGGTTGTGTCCTAGAGAGGCAAACTCGCAGCGGTCATGATGAAAAGGTAATGTAGAATGTTTATAACAATATCTAAATATGGACACCTAACCTGTTTTTTTTTAACCTGTATCAACACATCTGATATCTTTCTTATTTCTGCATATTTACAAAGAATACTTGGACCATCATATCCAAGTAACAAAAAAATAAAAATAAAAAATACTCAAAAGGCAATAGTCACAATATGCCTCTTTGCTCATGTATTTCTTTCCCGACTTTATTTGGCAGTAGAGTAACCTTAACGATTTCATAAATCAAACTCTTTATAGATTTAACTTTTTTTTGAGACTATAGAGAGACATCTCTAACTTAATGCCGCAGCATAATTGTGATATTTAAAGAAAATGATACGCTTTTCTCTTTCAACATGGCTGTGACCCTGTGCATAGAGTGAGGTCCATAATCATGGTTTTCTGAGTTGGGAGTGGAAGAGCTAGCATGGCCTGCAGGCAGCCCAAACCTCAACCCCATCCAACATCTTTGGGATGAATTAGCTAACAAGGCCTTATCACCCAAAGTCTGTGCCTGAGCTCACTAATGCTATTGTGGCTGAATAGCCCACTACAATCGGATGTTTACATACTCGGCCGTTTAAGTTCTCACCCTGGAAGATCTTCTGTACAGTGAGTGGTCGGTTCCCAAGGTTGGAGTCTACACCTCCCTCCAGGCTGAAGCCCAGATCCCTGGTGTTCTTCTCCAGACGAACACACATATGCTGACCTGAGAGCAGCAAATGCACAAAAACACAGATAAAGTATCTCACTTCAAACTGCTGCAGCTTTAGGACTAATGTCTTTTCACAACTCTGGTAAAGTACCACTTCTCACCTGTCTCAGTGCACTGAATCTGCGTTTGTCCCTGATTAATCGTCTGCGCTCCCCCGTTACAGACACTGCTCATCCCTCCCCTCCTCAGGACCACCACCCCCATCTCCCGAGTCTTTGCTCTCCTCAGGACCCTCAAGGCCTCCCAGTGGGTGTAGCCGCACAGTGCTGTGCCGTTGATTGACAGGACCTGGTCCCCTTCGCTTATGGAGCCTTCCTTTGCTGCAACACCCGAGTGAAACACCTTGTGAACCTGAGAGGAAGAAATCGAGGGACAAATGATGGAGACTGAGGATGATGCTTTTCAATATTTTTCAGGAGAAAGCAGGAAGGGGTGTTTCCTCACAGTGACTGGCTTGTTCTGGTCCACGCCTCCTGCCAAACTGAAGCCCAGTCCCACACCTATGTCCTTATGGAGAACCACCACCTGTACATCGTTATAGTCCTGCAAAAAGTGAAGGCAGCGATTATCAGACGGAAGTTGTACTTTTTGTCCTATGTATGATTGATTTTGTGGTGTGCAACTTGCATGGGAAAGGTGACCTTAGTCATGACAATGTTAAGATTGTTGACCACAAAAAGTTACACCGTACCTGCAGAGTGCTGTCCCCCACGCTCCTCACGTCCTCCAGCAGCCTGTCAAGCTCCTCACTGGGCATCACAGACACACAGGACAGGGCCGACATGTCTGAGCTCAGCGAGGCAGTCCGATAGCTGGTAGATTGCCACTCATCGATATCATTCTCCGACTCGTATTCAACACCAGCAAAGTTACACAGGTCTGAAAGACTGCAGGGAGGAAAGACGAGAGTTATGAGTTAAACATTTTTATAAATTGTTGAAAGGAATAATTACAACCAGAAATGTGACATATTACAGTACCCACCTGACACAGAAGCTCTTGTGATCCGACTGGCTCATGTTACTCGTGATGGTCACCGAGGACTCTCCGGAGTCTGAATCATAGTTTGAATCCTCGTCCCTCTGTGTACTTTCATCATCATCATCCTCAAAATCCTCTTCATCATCCCAGACCATAATATTTGGTTTCAAGCCAGCTACCCAGGCATTCAGGTCCAACAGCTGTTTCTTCCCAAGTGGATGGGCTGTGTTTACATCTGGTAAGATGAGATCAGAGAGGTTGCTGTGGGAGGAAGTGGCAAGGGGACGAGGGAGAAGCGGTGAATCTTCTTTGGGGATTTTGGCTGCTTGTGCGAGGATGGAAGTACTTTCATTTTTGCTGTGAGCAATGGGAAAGACGTTTTCCAGTTGTGTGGTAGGTGTAAGAAAGGGCGAGTTGTTCGGAGAGTTTGTTGGAGTCTTGTCTTCATCACTAACAGGTGAAGTAAACCTAGGGGGTGTTGTTTTCTGCACACCAGCGGAGTTGGACAGTTGCAAGGAGGATGGTGCCTCCTCAGGGCTTGAGGTTCTGTAAAAATCTGTCTCGTCTACGTAAAAGTTTCTACATTTTCTTTGAGCGCCTCCATTTCGTGGGATTTCTAGGGTTGTCTTGAGACTGGAATATTTACCAAAATCACCACAATTGTTGGTGCTATCCATTTCTTCTCCTTCATTCTCAACAAAATCATCCCTTTCTCTCTCTTTCTTCCCTGATTTTAGTCCATTCTCATCCAGTGATAAAGATCTAGTTGACCCAAGCTTCTTTCCTCCTCCCGTCACTTTCTCCTCAGTTTCATCACCTGCCTCCCCTCCCTCTTTCAATCCCTCCCACTTGTGTCTCAATCCACCTATCGCTTTTGCCGACCCGCTCTTTTTCACTCCTTCATGAGCCAAGCTGAGATGTGTTGGCACAGAAAAGGCCCGTCTGGGCATCAGGGCCTGTCCTGTAGCCAAATTCTGTGTGAGAGCCTCGAACTGATTGATCTTATTTCTCACACTGGCTGCAGAGGCGGCCGACAACCTCCCCAGGAATGTCTTCCTCTCTATTGATTTCATTGTCACTTTCGGTGGGTTTGAATCAAACACATCATCAGTAAAGCTACTCATTAATTCTGTTGTTTCTTTTGCTACTTCATCTGTTTTTTCCCCCTGTTCTTCAAGTCGCTCGGTTCCTTCACTCAATGTCCCTTGTATTCCATCAGTCTTGCCCTTCATCCCTTCATGATCCTTACTCTCATTCCCACTTGCTCTTCCTTCCCTCAAACCAGACAAATCTCTCAAAGAAACTGTTCTATCTTCTTCTGAGAAACTGTTAGAATGTGGGGGTGAAGTAATTCCTGCTGCAGCCCTTGCAGATCGTATCTGAGCTGCTGTCGAGTACCTGCTCCTGGCTCTATCCAGAGACCTTGTGCCCATTTCCTCTAACCCTCTGCTCAACTTAACTCCCCCTACCTCTGAGTACTGGCCCTGGATCTGTCCTAGCCACTGTACCCCTGACAATCCCTCCCTTGTCCTGTTTGTCCGTGGTAAAAATGAAGTCTCAGAACCTGTAGTGTCTTTTTGTGTCCAGGTGAAAAATTTCCTGCTTTGCACTGGACTGGGGATCCTTTTCTCTTCTGATGAGAAACGCCTGCGGGAGGTTCCCCCCGAAGCCCACTCATATGACCTCTGCTGTGTAGAAATGAGGGGTTGTGTTGTTGTTTCTCTGTGATGGGACGTTGCTGAGGTTGAGATGTCCCTAATTATGCTGCAATCCTCCATTTTACTGAAACCAGTTGACCCGTAGAGTTTCTTTATCCGCTCCATTATGCTCTGACCTCCTTTGGGCCCAAATGAAGAAGCTGCCTCTCTGACACCAGAGCCAGATCCGGACAGGGACCTAAAACTAGTGGGAAGAGAATGACCTTTACTGGCCCTGTCCAAAGTCTCACTCATGTGACTCACTGGGCTCCTCTCCTGAACAACATTACTTGTACCAGCGGAGTTATAGGCATGTATTGAAGACATCACCCTGCCACTCATGCCTTCAACTCCAGTCCTTTCTTCGTCCATGCCTCGTTGAGTTGGCAACACGAACATGTCAGCCATCTTGCCACGATCAGGGCTTGATGCCCCTGCTCTCCAATCTAGACTCTTACTTCTACTCGGCAGGCTGTATTTCCTCCAGTCTGTCTTGACCCGACTTTCAGACGCAGGGTTACATTTTCTACTTCTGTCAGTGCCAGAATCTGTGATAGTTTTGTCTGCTGTGCCATTCTGGTTCAGCTCGGTAGCTGTTGTGTAGCCTGACGTATCCTCTTTCTCACTCTGACCTTTGACACTGCTGGGACTCTCCGTCCTGGCTTGATAACCAGAGAGTGTGTGATCCTCTTCTTTGGTTGTACCATCTGTGCCAGTGTGCGTCCTGAATCTCTCTCTCTCGCCAACTTCTTCATCACTCTTCCTCTCCTCCTCCAAAAAACATTTGGGTTTCCTAACAGCTGCCCTGCGAGTGAGACTGTACGAGGGAGAGTTTGCTGAGCGGACAGTGAAGCGTGCTTCTGTACTCTGGTTATCATACTCACTCACTGGAGTAGGCAGTGTGGACAAGTCCATTGTCTGAGAGTAAACAAAGTTAATGATCTGCTGTCAAGTGCCAAATCCCAAAAAGAGAGTGGAAGAGATCTTTATGCAATTGCAAGTAACTGTCTTTTAGACGGAAATCTGGAAGCAGTTTGTGTGAATGCAGCAGCTGCCGCTTCTGATGATTCTCTGTTTTGTGTCCTCGATGAGATGACTCCTCTGGGCTCCTCTTCTTGATCTCTTGTTGTTCCCTTGCAGTCTTTAGCGAACAGCTCCCGTTGCCTGCCAAGCATAAAAAAATGTACAAATTTCCATTCTGAGAACGAATTGGGCTGGAATGTTATGATATGTGGATTGTGGTTGCTTTGGCTCCTCGAGATGGTGAAACAGAAGCACAGAGTGGTTGAGAACAGTCAACACAAGACGTTACAGGGAAGCATAAAGTGGAGAGTGAATGGATGAGATATGAAAACGATAAGAAGAAATAATAGGAACAGAAAAGCATGAGGGCCAGAGAGCCAAAAACACTACAATATACTCACTCCTGTCAGCTATGTCATTTTGCAACACATCCCTGCCCCTCTGACATTCGCCTCACAGTGACTCAATGAGCCCATTCAAAGAACAGTGGGACTCAGATAATGCACTCTGTTGTACACACACATCATAACTGCTGTTTACACAAGCAACATACTCATGACTACCTGTCATCGTCAGCTAAACCTGAACCCAAAACTGGAAAAACTCCCCTAACAGCAATCCACCCAGCCAAAACAATGTGTTAAAGTTCCACTATCAGTCTCTGTGCAGCCCGTATCGGTCTCATGAAACCAAAGTAAGACAACAACAGACTGAAACCGTGTTATAGTGTATTCAGGTGGAATTATCAGATAAGATGGGCAAAGGTGAGGACAGCGCCACTTTGATTTACGTACAGCCTGCTGAGAGATGGACAGCATTACTGATGAACAATGGCTCATCAGGGAGCTCTCAGCCACACATAACAGGCACCGTCTGTAAGCCAGTGAAACCATCTTTGATCATTAATCAAGTCAGAATTTGGATCAAATCGTCTCTTTTGACAGTTAACACAAACAGTGCAAGCTTTTGATTTACTGTACAAACACAACAGGACAAAAGAATCAGATAAGCAGTGCCTGTGTGATTATATGAGGCCGTTTATAGGTTACAGCGCGTACCTTTTGGTGACAGTCTCTATGGTGCTTTCCAATGCAGGTGAGTCTGAGTGTCGGTTTACAGAAACACCTGTTCAGCATGGTCACAGAGACTCCCATCTGGGTAACCCGGCAACACGGCACAGTTCTTTAAACTCCGATTGAACAGCAAGAAAGATAGAAATGCACCCCAACATCCGACATTACTCTCTCACATAATTACAACATTCACAAACACATGTTCCTTACCTTCTCTTGGAGTGACTTCTTTACCTGTCGCCACTGTGTTGACATGGGTTCATAATGAAGGCAGCGCTCTGTAATGACATCAGCTCCTACAGCGACTCCTCTCTCGTCTCTTTTCATCGGCTTTGCATGATGGAGTACAGTGACGCAAACTTGCCACACTGGTTTATCCTCTAGTCCAATCTCTCTCTCTCTCTCTCTCTCTCTCTGTGTCTCTCCTCCCCCTCCCATTGTTGTTTTCTCCCTCTTTTCCTCTTCTCACAGGGTAGCATTCCTGACTTCAGTTAAGTGTGTAACCAACTAAACAGGGAGTGCGCGCACGCACGCACACACAGTGTGTGTGTGTCATAGACGCCCTTGTCACGCTGCAAACTTCAAAACTCCAAACTCCCTCACACATCAGCATTGTGTGAAACGGAAGAAGAATGACATTTCTCAACACAGGCTTATTATATCACCCCACCTAAAGGCAAACCTAAGTTTAATCATCTGTGCTGAGCAGGTATCAAAATACATAATAACAGAGCACCTTTAATTGGGACCAGAGACCACAAAGAGCTCATGTGGACCCAGAAAATACCAGCAGGGATTAATATTGTTAAAAGGTATATACACCTCTCGTAAGACATATGTTTAACAAAACAAAACTCTATTGGAGACGCACTGAGAATCTGTGGGACCGTAATGCCGACTGTAGGAGTGAAATTGATAGATTATATCCACACAGAAGAAGAAGAAGAAGAAAACACAGAAGAAGAAGAAGAAAACACACAGAAGAAGAAGAAGAAGAAAACACAGAAGAAGAAGAAGAAAACACACAGAAGAAGAAGAAGAAGAAAACACAGAAGAAGAAGAAGAAGAAGAAGAAGAAGAAGAAGAAGAAGAAGAAGAAGAAAACACACAGAAGAAGAAGAAGAAGAAGAAGAAGAATTGTTTTTGCAAAAACAGAATACTGCAGAGTGGGAACAAACAGCCTCTGAGTCGTTCAAGGAGAAAGCAGACAGATATTTAACATTTTTAAATATCTAATAAGCACTTACAGTTTTGGTTGTCCTGTAGAGGCTCATGTTCGTACTGCTGCTTTTTTGCATACACCTGCTTCCTTTGAGATAGAGGAAACTGTGGTTACTCCATCAGCGCGCTGCAACGCTAAATACGGGACGTCTTAACGTCTCTCTGTGGCTGTCAAAAGCCAAAAGCAACTGAGTCAGAGACATTAATGCTAGGCCAAGTCTTAGGACATGAATGATCCAATCAGTGATTAGCCATACAGAGGGGTCGGTAGGTCGCATGGTCTTGGTCGCATGGTCTTCTCTCAGGACAGAGATAAGTCTGTGAGTAGGGATAAATAGCTCCAGTGCAACTCCACAGACACCCACCCTTGTTCCTGACAGAAGAATGGCTCTCAGTGTCTCTGCAGGATGGATGCAAATCACTGTCCTGCTCACAGAGACACACTGGTTCTATAAATTCATTCTTTAGGGTGTAGGACTCGGAGGGTTTTGTGAGAAAAGGCAATTTATTATATTTAATCACGAGCTCACAGTGGATATAAATAGTCTGCAGTCCATTCAGTGTCAAGAAACAGAGAAATAAACAGCAAGAATGTGAAAATGGAGCAATTTCATAGTCTCCAACTTTGCTTGACGGCCGAGCTGGAGATTGTGGATGCTGGCCTTTATTTTCTGTCCTTGGTGCTTGTTGATTTGTTTGTTGTTGGTTGGTTGGGTCTAGTGAAGTCGCTTTCAGCAGCAGGTGGCAGAAGAGGCCAGAGAAACGTCAGAGCTTACGTCACTACTGCCTTTACCAGTCACGTGACCACCGCGGAAGTCAACAAACCGGGTGGACAGCTAAATGTAACGACGAAAAGCACTTTACTTGTTTTACTTCCCTGTTCTGTCTTTCGTTTAACGTTTTTAGATGTTAACGCGTTTTAAAAACGAGCATTTAAATGGAAACCGCGTGCCTTTCAAATGTCATATGTTGGACGTACTTTCCGTCATTTAGCTGAAGTCGGCCAACGTTAACGTTACTTATTTTAAATTAAACGCACCGTTTCAACATGCCGACTGTTCCTCTTCTCTCGAGCGTTAACGTGGTGCTCGTAATGACCTACGGTAGTCTGGTGAGTCTGTTTCACTTTATCTATGTAATATCCAAGTCCAGTTTAACTTAACATCGGAATGAAGTATTCTACAACTGCTTTGATTTAATTGTAAAGTGCACAACACTAACTCCTATGCTGAGTCATTACAACACACACACCTCATAGAAGATCAGTGCTGTTTACCAGACTCCCAGATCACCACACCAATGCAACATGAGTCTACAAACATTACTGAATCCAAGTGAGCATCACTACAACACAGCTGCTGATCACTCGTGGTGGATGAATGACAGAACTGGTAAACCGATGATGCAAAGAAGTATAATTAAATCGTTAAATGTAGGATTTATCTATGTCTATCTATATCATTATCTATGTTTTATAATTCTACAGTATGACCAATAAATAAAACGATAGTTTTCAAAAATAATAGAGTTACTCTTCCTCATTTATAAACTAACTTCTGCGTATTTTGCACATTACGAAGCGATGATATTCTGATTGTCCATTATACTTCCTAATAAACAAGATATGGGTTTCATATCTCCACGAACAAATCAAAGCGCTACTCTATTCATAACCTGATAATACTCTTTTCTAAATGACAGCCATAAGAACAAATGTAACAAAGTCGAGGCCTGTTTTAACACAGGAAAGAAACCCGAACATAGTTTTTAACACTCTGCGCACATGCGTACTAGTCGCTAGGTTGTTGACCTTCTCATCCGGAGAGTCCTACACTAGTCTGATTGGTAGTTTCAAACAGCAGAAACTCCTCAAACACCTCACTGAAGGTAAAATAAAACAATAATCCACCGTCAACGCTGGGGGGTCCATGAGCACGTTAGCCCCTACTGTAAGCTCGGTCGAAGATATTTGCAACATGTTGTTACTATCCCGAGGTACAATAATGCTAATTATAACCAGCGGTGGCCCGTGAGCAAACATTTGTAAGGTATCATTTTTGGAGTTTCACCTCGCGGTACTCTATGCTCTGCACGTGCAGCTCTGCCCTCTTGCGGCCGCAGACACACATGCAGCTTCTACCCTGAGTTATCGCCTATGTGCGATTTTTAACTACAGTAACGAATGCGACTTGAAATGTAGTGAAGTACAAAACTTGTGATGAAGAGTACTTGAGTAAAAGTAAACTTGCATAATAATAAAAAAAACAACTCAAACAAGTACAAGCCTACACAATGAATTAAAACAATTAAAACATGCAAATGTGCGTAGTAAGTTCAATATATCAATATTTAGTATTTTAATTAAATAAATAAATTATTTACATATTTTGTTCTGTTTATCTTCCACTGGCATCCTGTAAACTAAGCTTTAAAAGGGTTAAAACATCCATTGACTCTTCCCTCTAGGTGTTTGTTTTGCTATTCATCTTCGTCAAAAGACAAATTATGCGATTTGCCATGAAGTCTCGTAGAGGACCACATGTTCCCCTTGGCCACAATGCTCCTAAGGTACCACACACACTACAATGAACCAGAAGTGAGATGCTGTACAATGTGTTGCTAATGAATTATTATATCATAGCTGTGTGTGTGTGTGTGTGTGTGTGTGTGTGTGTGTGTGTGTGTGTGT